ATTCATTGGATGGCAAAGTTAACAGCACGAGCATTCAGTTTGCGGAATTCCGACTGTGAGTTTTGTTTTGTAGACTTATCACTGGTTCAAAAGTCAATCGCTGTTGGTGTTAGTGAAATGTTCCCACACCAAAAAAAATCTGTGAGTGTCAATTTAATAAGCAGCATTTTTTCGAAATTTGCTTATTAATACCAACAATCGCTGTTAATGTAATTATTATATTTTTATTTTTTTGTTATTTGTTATAGATTTAACTAACAGAACTAAGTTCAGACAGACCAAACATTTCACGCAAACTTGTTGCATATATTTGCTTTTCATTACTTGTTACGAAACAGTCTCTAGGTTTGATGCGCGTCATTCAATTCTCTCCGGCGCCCAAAAAAAAAAAAAAATTGTTTACAATTATTAGAAGATACCTTTGAGAATTTACTAAGTTACTGACGACTAAACAAGAAAAAATACATCTTCGGCAAGCCAAATTTTAAATATACCCTTGCAGCTATTGCTTAAAATTAATATTCATAAAACCATCTTAATTTCAATTTAAAAGTGTATATGTATAAAAGCATTGAAGCTATGATGATTTTCAGCTCAATTAAAAGTGTAATTCTAATTTATTAAACCATTATTATATTCAATTAAAAATAAAAATTGAAACAATAGAGAAGTTTAATTTTTTTTATTTTTTATATTCAGATTGATCCTAACTTTCATATTCTGTATGCTCGGAAAATATAAGTTTGAATATACTAGACACGGGTTCGTAGAAAAACTGGTCGCTACGACTGATATGAATTGTGTATTATACATAATACATACATCATACATATACTTGATACACAATTCAAATCAGTCTTAACGGCCTGTTTTTTATTCTATATATATATATTATATATATTTTTTAATACTGTTATCAACGACAATAAATTACGGATTGTACATATGTAGCCGCGACGATACGACTTTTCTCTTAATCACATAAATATACTGTGGAGTAGCTTGTACAGTTTCGCTACACCTAAAACAAAATCGTCATTAAACAAAACTATTGTTTCAAAAGTTGTAGACTGTTGATTAAGAAAAGTTTCTAATAAGATAAGTATGTAACTAAACCCACGAAAGTATCAAATCATAATAACTAGACCTAAAACAACAGCTTTAGACTCTTCGGTATGAAAATAAAATTAAATGTAGCTGTTATAATATTTAGTATTTAACTAATACTTACACCATCTGTAGTTTATTTTTATTTAAACTAAACTTTCAGTTTTTTTTTTGGGTGTATAGCTATCACCAATATAATAAATATACAGCTATTTTTCGAATATATTAATGTCATCCGCCATTCTTTATATTAGCTGTTTCAAACGTTTACGTCGTCAGTAGTCGTTACCAAAGCAAGCAAACATGAAGTACGTCCAAGTAGTCTGCTTCCTTTTCGCATTTACACAAATAAAAAGTGCACAAGTGGTTTCGGACACTAATTCATCGTCCACTACAGCTGAAAATATAACAAGTACTAGTGATCGCTTAAAGAATTTGAACGAAGATGACCACGTCGTCAAGGCAGTCAAAAACGTTGATTTCGATTCCGACAGCATCAAGAAATATTTTAAAGGTTTAAAAAAAGATGTAGATGGACAACTTGTGATGACGAATCACACAGTAGCAGTTTTCAAGAATTCTCCGCATATTCGCCAAGTGAATGTGCCTGGTTTCAATTGGAATTACACTTTCGATTCCAACGAATTCGAACTGTTCAAATTCCGCATAGTCGACAAGTCAGCAAACTACGGCAAAATTTTGGGCTATTCAGCCACTCAACAGAACACGTACAGTAGCGGTCAATCTACCATCTCCTACAGTATCGCTAGATATGTCATTGAAAAACAAGCTATCAAAATTACCCAAGACGGTCTAATTATAAATGGAGAATTTTACGATGAGATTCGAAGTGCGTTGTCATCAAGTAGTTTGAATCTATCAAAGGCTAGGAAATTACTTGCAATTTTACAAAAATACGGATGGTATGTACCACTGCATTTCAAGATTGGCGGGACTTTCTACGTTACCGATAGCAAAACAATAAGTAACCCAGAAGAAGCGAAAGGCAATGCTATGAACTTAATAAATTGTTTTAAACTGGCGGTAAAGCGTGAAGCAAATGTTAACCAAAAAAGTCCGCCATGGTGCAAACGTTTTCAGCAAATCAACGGAAACATGACCACCGATATGTTAGAGGAAACTTTGCGTGATCGAAAACAATGGAAAATTGTTCAATACAAACGTCTACTACCAACACTTTTGTTACTTAAAAATTATAATAATTCGATTTTATCCCTTTGTATCAAACTCTTCTCGGAATTCCGTATAGACCTGCAGAATGAAGAAGCTGGTATCAACGTCCGAGAATATTCAACAAACATTGAGCAATTATTGTATAATAATCAATAAATTAAATCTTGTAATACATGACCAAAAATTTGTATCATTTTCAACAAAGTCACAAAAGTTAATTAATACAAAAGTAGGTTTTTCAATAACTTCAAAAATAAGTAGCCATATCGGATGACTACATCATAAAGCCCCCATCATTTATCTTTTTTCTTTTATAGGTTTAATTATGCATTTGAAACCGGGATGCCGGAATCCGTCGACGAAAGAGCTTCCATGTCCACTCATGATGCTGAAAACTTAATGATTTGCATGTTTTTCTCACTGTAACAGTTTGCCCCACTGTGCCAATATACAAAATTTGTCATTCCCTTTTTTTGGATTTTTTTCCCACAGAAAGAAAATTAAAAGTCGTTGTGTGCACAAGCCTTTTTTCATTCTTTCTCGCCTTTAATCATATATATATATATATATCGTCACGACCCCTTAACATAATCAAAAAATACACTGTAAAATAATATATTCTAGAGAATTTTCTGCATATTTTCTTTCACTCACCAACAAATATTAGTTAATTTAGGCATTATTTTGCTTTTTCCCGGCGAAATGTGAAGACGAAAAAAACCACTGACCTATGCCAACAACTTTGGCATTGGTAGTTCCCACATATTTTCGGGAGATTAGAAAGAGAGCGATTTTGTTCGGCTAGCGATAAGCTATTCGGGCTTTGCTAAGCTTTCTTTGACCTTTTCTTTTCTATTTCTGCATTTACAATGATTATGGCCCATACCGAGGGACTTTGGGTCCACCTTTTGCTCCACTGACTTGGATTTTTAATTATTTCTTTTGGCTAACCCAAAAAGCAGATTTCAGCGATGTATATAGGTTTTTTATAAAGCCTTTTCTATCCTACGCTGATTTGGTTCTCGATTGCACTGAACTAAACATATGTATACACCTCTGAAAGAGGTAAAAAAATCGGTACAAATGATATCCGACGGATATATTCTATAATTGCCATAGAAACAATCTGGCCAAACTTTGTTGTGTTTAAATTTGACTATCTATCGCTAGTTTTGCACTCACTATATTTTTATAGTGTTCAGAACCTAGAACTATATATTTTATCAAAATATCCTATTAATATGTTATAAGTTTATTTTAAGTACATTTATGATTAAAAATATTATGTGACATTCAAATTCTCGAAGTGTATTTAGCCAAACTTATTAAATTGACAAAGATTTTTACGACAGTTCGCAAACAAAAAATATTTTCGTATTTTTCTCTAAGTGTATTGAGCTAAACCTATTAAGTTGACAAAGATTTTTACGGCAGTCCGCAAACAAAAAATATTTTCATATTTTTCTCTAAGTTTAATTAGCCAAACCTATTGAGTTGACAAAGATTTTTACAGCAGTTCGCAAACAAAAAATACATTTTGGGTGTTCTCTCTCTCTCTGTTTGGGTATTTCCTAAACGACTAAGTCTTTGAATTGCTAAAAATTCGGCAGAAATTTAGCAATTGAGGGAACGACCCAAAATGTTTTGTGTTGGAATTGTTAAACTAAAGCATATAAATAATCAAAATGAGGGAAAACCCAGTCTATCGCTACTGATAACACAGTTCACGTGGTATCAAATGTGATTCAAAGAATTATATTTTGACTGCATAACGCAAGTACATGATTTGATTATTTCCAACCTTTAGCCTCACAGCATCCTGTTTGTTCCCTGAAGGAATAACTAACAGATAACATTTGATATACAAACCAACAATAACTACATACCCACGAAGAAGTTAAGTTGTAAAATGGAAATAATAAATTTATTTTTATACCCTTGCAGAGGGTATTATAATTTCAGTCAGAAGTTTGCAACGCAGTGAAGGAGACATTTCCGATCCTATAAAGTATATATATTCTTGATCAGCATCACTAGACGAGTCGATCTAGCCATGTCCGTCTGTCCGTCTATCCGTCCGTTTCTACGCAAACTAGTCTCTCAGTTTTAAAGCTATCTTCATGAAACTTTCCTAAAAGTTGCCTATCTATTGCAGGTAGTATATAACTCGAAACAAGCCGGATCGGATGACTATAGCATATAGCTTCCATAGGAACAAACGGAAAAATAAGTTTAAAATAATTATAACTTTGCTGTTTCTTAATTTTTTTTAGTTCTTCGACTTATAGTAATGGTTAAATATTTCAGAATTACGGTTTAAATTTTATCGAAATCGGACGACTATATCATATAGCTCCCATAGAAATAATAAAAAATATATAAAATAACTATCTAATAATTGAGCTGCAAATCATCATAGCTTGAATGTTTTTAAGCATGTACGCAAGTTAATCATAATTTTAATGTTTTCAAGAATATTTAGTTTATGCAATAGCTGCAAGGGTATATGAACTTCGGCTTGCCGAAATTGGGTTTCTTTCTTGTTTTTTTTTAATATACTACAATACTTAAAATTGATCTTCGCCATAAATATTTCATTCCATCTATTATCCAGTACTGGTTAAGCGGTTAGTGTAGATTGAACACGTTCCCAACTGAAAATTATTAAAAAGTAAAATACAGAAAACAACGAATAGACATTAATTGTCAAAATCTAGTTTATTGATAAATGTACAACAGTGTACATAAAATAAATTTATTAAAACAATATTTTTGGTAGTTAAAAAATGTCTTTGTTACAGCATGACATGAAATAAGGAATATTTTAAAAGACTGAGATACAAATTATCCATGGTCTCAAGCCATTGAATAGACGAATTTTATTTTCCCTGCAACATTTGCTCGATGCTCTGAGCATATTTTCTTATGTTGACACCTCCCGCTAAATATTGAAGTTGCGTGCGATAATCTGACAGGAGTTTCATGATTTGGGACATCGACCAATTGTTGTAACCATGTAGTAACATAAGAGTCGGAAGAAGTCGTTTATGCTCTATAATTTTCCAGTTTTCTGGTTCCTTAAGTGAATTCCCAAACGCTTCAATGGTGAATGCTGTACCATCCCCGCCTACGCTAGTTCGTACACTTTCCTCGTTTTCACTCTTTTGTCGGCTTTCGTCTTGCGAATGTGTTTCTGAACCGTGTTTAAAACCGGCTTCTGCACCAAAGCCATGGTACTGTAGTCCCGCTTTGAATTCTGTTGCGAATCTATTGCTCTTTTCTTTTGCTTCTTCGTAGCTGCTTACTTGTGAGCTCTTATATTCTCGGAATGCACCTCCAGTTTTGAAGTGAATCGGTAGAAACCATCCATACTTCTGCAAAACTTCAACTATTTTCCTAGCCTTCAGTGCTTGCGACTGACCCGGCTCCAAAGCACTTTGAAGATCGGTGTAGAATGCGTTGCTTATTTGCAAATCGTTTTGCGTCATTTCGATTTCTTGTTTCTCGATAACGTAAGAAGCAAAATTGTAAGACGTATACATCTGACGCGAATGTGAATTCTTGTGACTGTTACTTTGTTCGTAACTGGCTGAAACAGAAAAGAGTCCGAAAAAACCACTTCCGCTCGCAGACACCGATGTGTCCGTAATACCTGACTGCATCGCCTTTAGTTCTTGAAAACTAGATGTAAATTTGGACTGGAAACCAGCAGTTAATACGTATCTTGGGGTCACAGTTTTTTTTAAATCTGCTACTTTAAAATTGCACGTGACTAAATCTCCCTTGGAATTTATGTTTACACCGAACAGGAATCTCGAAATGTTTTCGGGTGCGGTACCAATATAAACCTTATGGTTCATTATTATTTCTCTTAGGGAGTGTGCACTTTCGTTGAATATAGCTGAATACGTTTTGTCAAATTTAGCGTAAAATGCATCGTCCAGGCCGAATCCAAACGATCCTAATCTCACTCGAAATTCTGCAAGCGTCTCATCCAGCCAAGTAGGCTCAATTTTTAACCGTCTTGCATCTGTTTCACCGGATATATGTATCACATCCAAAAAATGTTGCAAGATTCCGACATAAAATTTGCCTTTACCATTAATGATATCATTGATTGTGATGTTTTTTTCTAGTGATACACTTATTGGATCATAAATTGGCACATCTTCTCCATTTATTTTTTCTTCGGTATGATGATAAAATATATTTGGTGAAGTCATATTTAAATAATTCCTTGCTTCCGATAAGGTTAGACTTTTTTCTAAAAGATCAACACGCCGAACGCCGTTACTTATATTCACAAAGGCCACCATTTTAATGTCGTCCGATTTTGTACTTGCACCATCAATTACCCAAAAAGCGTAGCAAATCAGAACGACTGAAATACACTTCATTTTCGTTCTTTTTTTTCCTTTACGCGGCTGACTGCGGCTGACTGTCGACGGAGCAGAATATTTAAAGACTGAAGCAAACGACGATGCCAAAGAGATGCGAAATACACAATTATATATTATAGTGATAATGAATCCATTGATAACCTTACGGACATTTTAAAATGTGGCACTTATGCGTATTATTTCCACGTAAAACGAGAATTATGAGCTGCTTATTCTTATATGTGTGCCACCATCAGATTTTCTGGAAATGTCGATGTGTGTGTTATTTTAAAGCAATTAAAAAGAAGTTATACAAAATTATTAAATATTTTCGAAAAACTACACAAAACTTAATAAAGGTTGCGGAGGGAATATAAATTTATAATACATAATCAAAGCCCTGAATCAAAGTCCATGAATCAACAACCGAGTGTTGATCAGTTTGTATTATATTGCAGCAGCATTGATTACACAGGGCAACAAAATTTAAATTTTTTGTTGTGCAGACTTAATGGCACGTGATTGTGTTAAATATGACTTTTCTAAGCACAGTTTTGGCATTTGTCCTATTATAAAATAAAGAAAATCACTTTTTTTTTCTTTTGTTAGATGATACCTTAAAAAATGGGCAACAATGTTTGGTCGTTTTTGATTAAACAGCGTTTAGAAATTTAAAAAAATATGTACTTCCATACATTTTTTTGAACATAACAGGACGTTCTGTTTTTATAATAATTTTATAAGCGGTTTTTGATTTTTTTACAAATGATTTCAACCGTTTTTCCCAGGGGCGAATCACAAATGTACTTCCTGCGTAGTTCAAAATAATAACTAATCATCGAACTTCCTATAACAAGCACTTTTCTGCCTTCATTTTACGTATCCTCTTTTTATGAGAATTCAAAAACAAATTATTTTCCATAATAAATCGTTTTCTAATTGTCTGAGTTTGTTTGTTTGTTTTTTGTCTGTGTAAATAATGTTCGATTAGGTTTGTCTAACTTATCGGGCTAACTTAAAATAAATCACGCTAATAATGTTTTCGTAAGATAAGGGAACCTTTTAATCACGCTCCACTGTTCTTTAACTCGTATTCCTCCATGATGGCAATTACAGGCTCGTTGACATACTCGCGAACCTCCCGATTCAAAGCGAAATCGCCATGGTTCCACTCTGGGTCCTCCATGAAATGCATCACCTTATTGGGCAGTCGTTCGGCTATGGCCTCCACATCCTCCACAGCGGCCAGGGCATCGCTCTCAGCGTACCACAAGTGCACCAGGGATTTGATTTGCTCCACGGGATACTCTGGAGGATCCTCGGAGCCGTAGAGCTCCAGATTCTTCCTGGTGCCGTGGTCATATTGTCGGAAGTAGCCCGATTGCTGCTCCTGCAGGTAGTGCAGCATTTGATCCGTGGAACAGCCCGCAGGATGGGTGGCCATGGCTTCCGGCATAGCAGTCTGATTAAAATAATATTAAAATAATATTACTACTAATTTTTTCAATATACTTATGTGAAGTAAACCCACCATGTTGACACGACCTCCGGCGTAGAGTTTCTCCACGGCACCTTCGCAAACCGGACGCAGCATAAAATCCGGTTGACAGATATTGAAGAACAGGGCCATAATAAACTCATTATGTGGCAGGAACTCCTGAGAGCCAAAAAGTGTTGAATATGCGTTCTTATGGCCCAAATAGGGACCCACGGAGCGCACCAATCGACTGGACAAATTCTTCATGATTGCCACCGGGGCAAACAAGTGGGCGGTCTTGATTTTGTCATTATAATCCGGTAGCCAGGACATCAGGGCAAAGAAGACCGTAGTTCCCTGCGAATGGCCCACATAGTGGATGGCATCCTGACCCTTGCCATTTTCCGTATTCAGGGCATAGTCAATAGTGGCGGTTATATCGTAGATGGCGATCTCATGCCAACTGAATTGCCAGAAGGTTGGGTGGTCCGGGGAGAGTTTCGTGTGGTTTCTGGAATAGGAAGTGCCTCGAGCATTGCCCATCCACACATCGTATCCTGCATCAGCCAACATATATGGCAGACTATCATTGGGTCCTTGCAAAATCCAGGCATCTGAGCAGCTGCCCAGTCCATGCTGAAGGAACACAATAGGTCGCTTTGCATTCTGGTTCTGCAACTTATGGGAGTAGGGAATACGGAACACTCCTAGGACATAACCATCTTTTGTGTTAATGTGGTGGTGCTCCGAAGGATATCCATGCAAGGCAGTGCGATCGGCCTGTGAATAAAATAATTTAAAATGAAATAAAATATATATTTTCAAGTTTTTCCCTTTCAATACCTTCAATTTTTAATTCTTTCACAAAGAAGTTGTTATTCTTTTATTTGAAAAAATATATTTTTAACGATAATAAACTTATTTTTAAGTAATTCAAATAAATGTCTTCAGTTTCTCTCTTCTACAAATATCAACCTCACACATGCCATACCGTTGTCGCTTTATCCTTGAGGGCTAAGTGAGCCTCTGGATTATCGTATAGCTTGTAGAAATCAATGGGTTCAACTACTGCTGCCGAATAGCTTCCCAAGGCCAGAGTAGCCAGGGTTAATAAAACAACCACAGGTTGGTACATTATACTTGTGTTTCCGACGATCTGATGCCAACTGATCGTTGGCAAGCACATGACTTTCAGCTTTTGTAGAGTTCCCTGGGAGTGTTTAACTTTCAAGTAGCTCTTACTATCGGTGATTTGATTATTTATATTTAGACTGTCAAGATAATACATTATTGAAGAAAAGCACCAATCTAAAAGTTATAAAATTGGGATTAACAGATCAAAGGATACTTTAACTATAAAATTAGAAAAGTAACCAGTATAAAAAATACCTAAGACAATTATAGTTTCTTACCTTATAAAATCTCAGTTGGTTAAAATATTGTGTTTAAACGAGATTAACACACACTCAATTTACGTTGGCAATATGAAAAGTCACGATAGTAACAACTTAAAACGTAATTTGGCGTGCTTCGATGAGTTTAACTTATCGGCTATTAATAGGCACATGAACAGTTGCGATAATCTAAGCTTACCCCCATCGAACGTTTTAGATTATAAAGCCATTTTTAGATTTAAAGAGTGGTAGTTGTATAATTTATTAACTCTACTTGTGTTTGGGAAAAGTATTTTTGATAACAGAAGTTGGCAAGGATCTAATGAACTTAAAATGAATATGGTAGTAGTCCAGTGTCGAGCATTAAGTATAACTCCGATCACTGATTTCTAATTATGAAGTGTGCCTTTTTGAGAATGTCTGAACTGCATCCGTTAATGATAAGATACGATAGGTACTGTTAGGATTTACGCAAACATAAATTAAATATGTGCAATTATCACTTAAACTATACTAAACAATTGGACTCCGTCTGTATCACTTTGCCTCGTACTCGTTCATGATGGCTATAATCGGGTTATTGATTAACTGTCGCACCTCCCAGTTGTACTGAAAGTCCATATGGTCCCACAGTGGATCCTCCATATGGTGCATCACCTTGTTGGGCAAAGTTGCCGCCACCCTTAAAACATCCTCAACTGCAGACATCTCATCGTTATCCGAATACCAAAGGTGCATTTCAGTTGTAATCAGCTCGGTGGGATAATCGTGGGGAGTTTCGGTTCCGTACATCTTAAGGTTCTTTTTGGTGCCAAAGTCAAACTGCCGGAAGTGTCCTGATTGATGTTCTTGCATGTAGTGAAGGATTTGATCTGTGGACACACCAGCGGGTGACAAACCAAATGTCAAGGAACTGGCGGTCTGTAGAAAAATATTATATTAGTAGTTACTAAAGAGATAAAGATATAGTTTAAACCTACCGTATTTGTTCTCCCCAGCTCACCAGATGTCTCATCACTGCTGCTGCAAAAGCTGGAAACAATCGATCCTGGGAGACAAACACTATACATAAGGGCTAGAACGAAGTCGTTGTGGGGCAAAAACTCCTGGGAGCAGAAAAGCGTCGAGTATGCATTGTTAAAGCCCAAATAGGGAGACAGTGTATTGACCATGAAGTCGTCCATGTGGTCCATAAAGGCCACTGGAGCCAGCATATGCGCCGTCTTGATCTTCTTGTTATATTCCGGTCTGGAGGACATCAGGACGAACATAACCGTTGTGCCCTGTGAGTGACCCACATAGTGGATGCCCTCCTGACCCTTTCCATTCTCCGTGGACAAGGTATAATCGATGGAAGCGGCGATGTCATAGTACCCGATCTCGTGCCAACTGAAGCGCCAGAAGTTCGGGTGTTTTGTGGAGAGGGTGGTGTGGTTTCTCGAGTATCTGGTTCCCCGAGCGTTGCCCATCCAAACATCATATCCGGCATCGGAAAGCAGGAAGGGAAGTCCATCATTGGGGCCCAAAACAGGCCATCCATCGGAGCTGCCAAAGAGTCCGTGCTGTATGAAGGCAATGGGTCTCTTTTCATCCTGGTTCCTCAGGTTATGGGAGTAGGGAATGCGGAAGAGGCTGATTATGTAGTCATCTTCGGTCTGAACATAATGCCGCTCCGCTGGGTAACCATGCTCCTCGATAAAATAAGTCTGCAATCAGATTTAATTCAATTGAGTTGATAAGAAGCTTATATTTCATTAAAAGCCTCAGCCTTAAAAAATAATAGGTATTATAGTGGTCATACTTACGGTTTCAGGGCCATCGGTCAAAGTCAAATGTGCATCAGGATTGTTAAACAACGCATAAAAGTCGGTGATCTCTGCAGGATCGTTGGAAAGTGGAGCACTTTGGACGATTGCCCCCAGGAAAAAGTACAGCAACCAGGAAGCACAAACTCTGGTGTGTGGTCTAGACATTTTGCCACTGAACTAGTGCGAAAACTCGGAGAACTAGGTGCTTATAAAGACTAACACTAGCCACTTGAGTAAAGTGCCCATATTGATATGAACCGACCAGTCCAATTAGCCAGTTAAATGGGTATAAACTTAAGTGGTAGGAGTGTCATAAAGTTTTTGACATACAAGTACGGTGGAAAATTTGTGTGTAGCTCGAGCAAGGAAGTAATTATTCAAAAATGGATTTCCCACCGAACTTATGGAACTTATGATTTGTTTTCGCTTTATGCTAATATAATGTACACCTAAAAATAAGATCCTTCACATAAAAAAAAACCTTAGTTTAAAAAACCTTAATTTATGATTAGCTATAAATTTTATAAAATTGTTTATAATTTTTAATTTGTTTATTTATTTTTAATTAAAGCCATTCATTCAGGAAAATGGATATTTAAATATGTAAATTATAACGATATTATAATATTAATAATAATATTGATAATATGTTATCAGAATTTGAATAATTTCAGTAATATATATGGTAACTAACATTGGTGTTTGTGTGAAAGAACGTTTACGATATTGTCACCTCTTGAGTTTATGCCCACTTAATTGGCTCAATTGGGCTGATAGGTTCTTATCGAAATTATAAGGGACTGGGTTTTTAATTTTTGATGCAGTTTAGAGGCAAAATGTCTAGGTTTCATATCGGTGTCAGCGCTGCCTTGGTAAGCATTTTCCTAGTAACAACTGTTTAAGGTGCTCCTCTTTCCAACAATCCTGCTATGTCAGAGTCCAACTCTTTCAACTAGTTTAGTTTTAAAGTTATGATAGTTTATAATTATGTAAATACAAACAAATCACTCCATATCTTATCTTAAACGGATGCAGCTTAGCATCCACAAGTAGCCACTCTTTACTGTTCTATCTTATCTTTCTTACGGGTCTATCAGATTTGTTCTTCAATTGACTTTTGTCATCCACAAACATAATACACTCATTAGATCTTAGCCGACTTTTTTAATCAAAGAGAAAATTTCCCATGTATAAGAAAAGGTCATAAAATATATAGCCTCCCCTTGTTGAACCTAAAAAATGGCTTTTTATTCTCAAACAGCGTCGTCAATGGGAGTATATTTTTTCCTTAGATTAACAAACCAGTTGCTCAAGTGGCTTAAATAAATGATAAGCAAGCCCCCTGAAGAGTACGATTAGTTTTTGGAAGCAATGGGTTATTTTTCGGAAACCTCAATTTGTTTATGACACTCGAACCAATGGGTTGATTATAACAAAATAAGTGGGCTAGACCCACTTATATATGTTCAACTGAGATTTAAGGTGGTTACAGATTTGAATTGGAAAACAGTCAACCAAATTAAAAAAATATATTTTTGGTTTTAAATAAATTATTATAAATATTAATTGATGTATTTTTAAAAAGCTCTCATAAATAAATTTGTAACTCAAATTATATTTTCAGAATAAGGTAACCTTTAACCTTAACAGCGCACACGGGCCGGAATGTTTTTCATCTGGTGATCTTCGCCGATTTTAAGGACAGCAACCATTCCTTGGACGGCATGTGCTTCAACATGGCAATGATATAGCCAAAATCCAGGATTGTCCGAGATGAAGCGGACAATAATGTATCCTAGACCTGGAATTTGCACCGTATCCTTGGCGACGGCGGAGCTGTCGTCCGATAATCGAGAAAGACGTCCTCTGCGATCTAGTTCCCGGATCTGAAAGGATATGGTCAAGAATTAATAGTAAATTATTGTTTATGGCAAACAAACGCTTATGTTAAAATAATATAGTATTAAATTAAACCATTATGTGTAAGTAGTCCGCTTTTCAAACATTTTTCTTGCAACTTCTTGCAGAGATTTATAATCGTTAACCGGTAGTAAGAGAGTATTAAGTCCGAATATTTTGCACTCGATTTAAATATTTTTCGCTTTGATTTTCATAGCAATTTTTAATTATTTAATATATGAATATATTAAAATATTTATAAAATTACTATTTTTGGCATTGATTAAAATACTTGAAAATTAAATATATTTTGCTTAAATAAAATGCGTTTATGCATGCACATAAATATAAAATTTTAATATTAAGTCATGCACTTTAAGATGCTTTGAATTTAATATTATGATTCAATTTTTTAAAAAATAATATTTACATCAATTAATGCGTATTAAAGAAAAAAAAAACACAATAAATAAAAGGGCAACATTTTTTCTTGGAAAAAAGAGCCAATCTGCTTCAAAAACGCTTACTTTTTTCCGTGAACTTCGTAATCAGTTATTTGTTCGTTCCAATAGTAAACAGAATTTCCAAGCATTTTATATTTCAAGCTATCTTTGTTTTTTTGTATTTCCAGTAACCAGGCAATAAATAAATCAGCAAATCAGCAAATTACTCATAAAAGAAAGAGTAAGAAAAGTAACGTATATCTATGTAACGCATTTATATGTACCAAGACCTACATATAGAGCAAAAGAGCTCGCACAGGGTAATAAATAAACAATAACTTTTGTATTTACTGATCAAATCGAAAGACAAACCTTAAACGTTAATTAGGTAGAAACAACTTACGTTGCGAAGATCGTTGAGACTCCCCAACACTCCTTGTCCGACCAGCCGAAATGTGAAGCCGTGTATGTGGAATGGATGCGTGCTGTCCAGATAGTTGGCCACCACCATTTCCAGAGGTCGATAGGCCGGCAGTCGCAGCACATGGACACACTCGCAAAGTTCTCTTTCGCAATTGCGCCCCTCTGCAGCCAGGGAGCTCTTGTTGCAGAAGTAGCCATCGTCCTGGTATAGGTGCCTGCCCTGCAGCAAGGATATTCCCGGCGAATTGTACGACACTTCGTCGATCTGAAAGAGGAGCTCGCCATTGGGAGCCGTGCGCGAGCCGAAACTGGAGTAATGGGTTAGGAACTTGGTGTAACGAGTCCAGGGCACTGGTTCCACGGATCGCAGAGCGACAGTGCCTACGTTGTTATCCTTGTCCAAGGATTGTCGAAGCGAGGATGCATTCGAGGAATTTGCGGACTTGTAGCGGAAATCATTGACAAATATCAGATCGTCTTCTGCAGATCTACTACTTGGCTTATCCAGGATATTACCCTGTGGCAGTTCGGCACGAGTTGACCCACGATAGCTGAGCACAGCTCCCTGATAGAGATTGCGTCCCTCGCACTGCTCATAGCCACGAACCCTGATCCAATAGTTCTTCGCATACTGGCTGGCCTCCAAAACGAAATCAAAACGCTCCGCGGAGGTCAAGAAGAAGCCATCGGCCAGAACGGGTTCGATGTCATTGCCATCGGTGCTGATGATCAATAGCTTGTGCTGTTCGATGGAAAACTCCACGGGGCAGTTGGCTATACCATTGAGGATGACCCTCATTCTATAGCGATAGCCAGGCGTTACCCTAAGTCTCTCGTACCGATGACGGTTGTCGTTGTCTGGCAGCTGACTGAGATGATTGCGCCCCTTGCCATTTACTAGGATATTGCGCACGTCCTGCAGGTTGTACTCGTAGAAGATGTCCTGGATCATCAGGGTGTGCTCCACCAGATCGTAATCGTAGAGCTGGGAGTGCTGGTTCTCCTGTCGCGTTTGGCGAACTACCAAGGCACCAGCCACTCCAAATCCCCGCTGCCAGCCCACGTGGCTGTGATACCACAGCGAGCCACTGCGATCCGCCTGGAACTCATAGCGCTGCACTTCCCCAGGTTGCAATGGGTATTGGGTGATGAACGGGGCTCCATCCATTTCGGGCGTTCGGTGCATATGAATGCCATGCCAGTGCATCGCTGTGGGCTCACCCAGGTAATTCAGGACATCAACCACCACTGTATCATTCTCACAGAGCTCTATAGGAGGTCCTGGAACCATGCGATTGACAGCCATCACGGGATTGGCCACTCCATCGCCAAAAATGCAATGTTCCGCCGCACAGGCCCTCTCATCGAACTGACATCGCTGACACTCGGGTCCCAGTCTTTGGTAATTGTGCACCACCAGTTGGTAGTAGCAGCTCTGCGTTTGACCCTGCTGGCAAACCCTTCTGCAGGGATGACGATCAAAGTCCCCGAAGTTGGCCAGCTCCATTTGACTGTAGTCATTTTTTAGGTCCAGAGAGGGCGTACCTTTGGTGGTCTTATTGCGCATCCAGCCAAACGAGGGCCATTCGAACTTGGCCTGCGGAAACTCCTTGCTAAAAGACTCCGATTGAGCCTGATTGAAGAAAAAAACTAGTAGTACTATCAGCATTTGGCTGGGCAAACTTTTACTTTCACGTTTGGACATCGCGAACCGCAAGGGGCAACTAACCGCTTGATTCGCGGACAGTCCACGAAGAAAGTTTTCGGCCCACTGGGCGACCCAGACCTTTGCGCATGCGCCGCACGTAGTTGCCATTAAAGCTGAGCTGAATTTGATAAGCTTAAAAGTATTGAACAGTTGGGAACGTAGTGGAATATGAAACATCCAATTTTAGATAGCGATCCAAATAATAGGAGTTTAATGTACCTATTACGTGGTTAAATAGGTAGTTCAGATTCGCCGACTAAATAGATATATTTCCAGTGGTTTACAGATCATTGTTGATTTCAAATCTGTCATTGATTCTTACATATAATAATAGTAACATGAAAAGAAAGGGGGGTGTTGTTTAATATAATTAATATATATAATGTAAAATGCGAGGCATCAAAAAACAGGATAATCTATAGCAATAAACGTAATTTTTCCCAAATAAACTAAAACAAAATATCGATCAATGGCAATGATCAAAGTCTCAGTTGAGTTACCCAATAATTTTTTATTAAGATTAGTGTAAGAATATACGTTAAATCTCCGCATTCTGCATTGCAGGTGGTGCAGATGCTGCAGGTGCCATACCCACCGAACTGGCTGTTGTGCTCATAAGACTTATAACTCCGCAGGCAATTGCCGGACCCACAGAGTTCTCCTCGTTTTGATAGGCCAATGGATTTGGCATTATCTGGAGGGAGGAGGAAAATACCTCCGCATTCAGAGCCGTGTTCAGATCAATTGCCTTGCTGTGGATCACAATGGAGCGTCCAACGATTCCATTGATGCCAAACAATTGGAGGTAAATACTTTGGAAAACCGCCGAAATACTGCCATCATCTTTGGTGTCCACATTGCCGAGCTGTGCGAATAGATAATTAAGATATTTTTTATGATTCTAGATAAGGAGTTAAAAAAAAATACTTACGAAATTATTGGGAAACTGACCGCCCGTGGACTTACAACCATCGCTCAGGTCTCCGAAGGTGTGGATATGTAGAGCATGTTTACCAGGTGGTAATCCCGTCACATTAATTGTCACCTTGATGTCCGAGTTGTAAGGAAGCTGAATAAAGGATATCATGCCGGCCACGCTAGCTCCCTCCCCGTCGCCCATCAACTTAGCACCCGCCTGCCATTGGGGCACCAACTGCTGGAAGAATTGGATGGTAGCAGTAGTTTTATACGGCTTTATAGATAAGGTAGTAGTAGGAGTTAATTAATTGTGGGTAATTAATTGTGGGTAGACATGATCTTGAGTCACTGAACTGACTAAAACTAACTGTTTTCTACTTTGTTATATTTTTAAGTATAAGTTTTATGAAGTTGATACTTATTACCACACAATAATATATATACCAAATCAACTTATCTCAGAACAATATTTAAAATAGCTTTTAAATAAAATATGTCTGATAAACTTAAATAAATATAAAACTATAATTCAAGATCAAACTGATTAAACTATTTAAGTCATGATACATAATGTACCTTTAAAAACTGTAGCATATCATATCCAATTAGTATCTAATCCAATATCATTAAACAATTAAATACTAGTGGCCAAAAATATGTGAATAGGGGAAATACAATTCTATTCATTATAACTGTATTTGGGACTTTGTGGAAAAACCGTCACACAAAAGAAATAATGAATAGTTTGCTAAATGACTGTGCAATTTAGCAATTAGTTTGTAAATTAAAACAAAAAAAAAGAGTGCTAAAACTTGTTAAATACTCACATAGGTGTACCCCAAATACGAAGGTTGAGGTGGCAGCAGTGGTCCCAGGAGTCCAGCAGCTCCTGGAATACCCACAGGACCTCCGAGTGGCACGGTCAGCCGCTCGTACCGCTTCACTTTGGTGCCGGAAACCACTTTGATTCCATCATCGAAGAGGGTCATATTCACCGGACGCAGACGATCCAGCAGATTTTGTGCACTGCCAGGCACAAAAATGCCACCATAGCCAATTACCAACGCCAAAATCAGTTTAACGAGCATTTTATGCCTATTTGACTTGAAATAATAATATTTAAATCGAATGTGGAGAACGCTAGACCTCTCGGATCCGGGGCTTCGGTTGAACTGATCCATGCGCCCAGAACTCGGCTCATCTATGATGACTTCGACATGGTTTTCACGCTGATTGACCACGTTAATTGTCGCCGTCTCTGTGGCCCGAAGTGGTGGCGATATAGACAGATATATAGCCGGCACATTTGATGACTAGATTGGACACTAATGGCAGTCGAGTGTCGCGTGTGTCTGATGCTTGGTTACCTGGCCCATGGGCGTACTTCTTGCGACGATTGGGGGCAAGATCACCTCAAGATTGAGATTTTCAAAAGCGGTTGACAAATCAATATTGTCATTACATTGAAAATTCCCTTTTTTTCATTCAATAATAGATATTTCTGAGAAGCTAATTGATGATAGAAACGGCTTCACAAATAGTTTAATCTTATACCCATTGGCCCTATTATCTGTCGTTCTAATTAATTTGACAATAATAGAAATATAAATTAGCTCACCACCGGCTCATTGAAAGTGAAACACCTAACCCAGATTCCCAAAAGCGCAATTGACACGCGAGATTTGCTGGCAAATAGATGACATATATTAGTTTATTTTTTAAATGGCTGTCCATTTGCAATTATAAACACATTCAATCGGTTTTGCAATAAATAAAACTGGGTTATTCGTGCCGTTAAGGTAAGTTAATGTTAATGGATTATAGGAGGATCAGTCGTTTTAGTTTTCCGTTGTGATGGCTTAGATATCGCAAAAAGGGATCATCGATAGCCGCCACGTTGTCCTCCACGACCTCCTCCTCCACCACCACGTCCGCCCTGCGGATTCCATCCTGTTCCTTGGACACGTCCACTTCCGCTGATCCATTGCTGATCATTTCTTTCCCGGCTGCGATCCCGTTGGTTTTGGTTTTGGTATTGATTCTGATAATGCTGCTGTTGAGGCTGCTGCCAGTTGCCACCTCGTCCGTCGCCGCCACCTCCTCCTCCTCTTCCTCCACCACCACCTCCGCCTCCGCCTCCTCTTCCTCCCCTGAAATTACCTCCACCACCTCGTCCGCCTCCTGGAGGACCACTAGCCCTTTGCTGCTGCCACGAGGGCATCTCTGGTGGCGGAGGAGCATGCTCATTGGCCCGGCCACCACGATCTGGCACCCGTCCAATCACATGCTTCTGGATCTTCGAGGCCGTGTTCTTCCTCACATTCGCCGAGCTGGTCTTCTCAATGATGGCCAGATCCGAGCGAGCGGCCAGCAGGGCTGCCATGTCCGTCTGCTCTCCGCCCACTTTCAGCTGCTCCAGTTCCTTCATCTGGCGATTGAAGCGATCCATGATCTCATTGGAGCGCTGGCGCATGGACTCCGACCACTGGAAGCTCTGGACGGTGGCCTCCAGTCGGGTGGTCATCATCTGGCGGCGCAGATTGTACTCCGCCTCCAGATCGCGATGCAGGGACTCCAGCACGCGCCACTGGCCATCTGTCAGGGGCTTCTTCATCTTTAGCAGGGGTTCGCTGACCACCTGGCGATTGGTCTGCTTCAGGGACTGCTCCAAACGGGGTGTAATCTTCTCGAAAAGAAGTTTCGAATTGATGTTCTTCGGTAGCTCGCCCAGTTGAAGATCCTTGCTTAGGCTTTCCACAATTTGCTGGACATTGGATTCGGTTTTTGAGCGTTTGCAGGGTGGACCCACCACGGGCTGGGACTTTAGAACCATCTTGGTGGTCATTAGTTCGGATGTGAGGTACTCCAGCAGTTGGACCAACGAATCCCGGCCCTGGAAGCGCTGCTCCATGGCTCCCTGTACCAAGCGGCGATATGGGCAGCCCAACTCCGTGAGCAGCAGGGACAACTCGAAGGCAAACTCATCGTTATCCTTCCGGTCGGAACTCACACGCTCATCGGTTTTCCGGAGAACGTGCAGTTCGTGGGCCAGCCAATGTATCACCGCTCGCAGCTCCGGACTTCCGACTCCAGCGTCCAGGGCGCGACTGAGGTTCTCCTGCTGCAGACAGGGTCCTTTGTAGGCCAGCGCCTGCAGGGAATCCACCACGTCCAGTTCCAGCTCCATGTCCTTTGCGAATTTTAAGCTTTTCCTTCAATTGTCAATTTTCCTGCCGGCATGGCAGTGTGGCCGCCGTTTTTTTGCCCGTAATACCAAAACGCCTCGTCAACCCTTTTCGGGTGGCCATTTTTTTTGATACACAAACATGTTCGTTTAGAGCAGACCCAAACCATGATCTAAGGAACTAAAGCCAGTGCTGGAAAGGATTTGTATGTAATTTTAATTATTTAACAGAAATTAAAGGCTGTTCTAAAACAATACATTTCCTAATCGTTTGCTCTAAGTACCAATGTTTTATTACAAATGAAGCTTGAAGGGCTAAAAGAACTATGACCTCTTTTTTTGATTATTTTTTATTTTAAAAATAAACCAATTTTATAAGGCGCAAGCTTAGAATTATTCAAACTTAAATTGTTCTCAAAAAAAAAAAAACAATATTAGTAAAACTCCTCAACTTTAAATAAGAATTGTGTCGAAGTTACCAAATTAAAACAAACTCAATGTATATTTACTTTTACATAACTTCATTTATTGTAGTTTACCAATTTCAATATATATCATATATTTATGTATATATAATTTATATTTATAAGTATAGTATATATGTATGTATTTTTGTTTTGTAAAGCAGGAAGTTTTAGGATTCGCATGAGTCGCACCTTTGGTGCCCACAAAAATCGTACATTTTTCTTTTGCGTTTTTTTTTAGGTTTCTCTTTTCTATACATACAACATTGATGTACTTAAAATGAACACACACATTTAGCTATATAATGTATACATAATAATATTCAGTTACTTAATGTCCTACAAAAGTGGTACTAAACTTAAATAGAAACAAGTGAATCAAGAAAGCAAGGAAAGTTGATTAATGCAAGAAACACAAACATTTTTCTCTCCTCTAGGACAATGATAAAAATGGCACAAAAGTAAAGTTCCGCTGGAAAAGCCACAAAGGCAAGGGGCAAGGACCGATCTGACCGAGCTGACTTAGGTGAAGCTGTACTGATTATCGACGGCTCTTCCGGTGCACTCGGCTCCACCATTGGATCCCGATCCACCTACTGCCCCACCGCTGTTGTTGCCACCGTCGCTTGGGTGCCGGTTACTGGACGCTCCCGCCTGATGATGGGCGGCTGCCTGGAGGGAGGCGTTCGAGGCCCGCAGGTGCGGCTGATCCAAAAAGTTCTGGGCCGACGGCGGCGATCCGTGCACTGTTAGCGTTGTGGGATCCAAATGGAAATAGACTTGCTCCGGAAAAAAGACGTGTGTTGGCTCCTGTGGCAGTTCGATTTCATTTGTCTTTAGGCGAACACTCAGATTCATGGTAATCACTTCGTTGCACTGTTGGGCGGAAAGATTGAAGGAGGTTCAATTAGCCGGGGTCATTTTTCAAGGCGGTCTGGGGGTGTGTGGTGAAACATGAAGCATGCAACAATCAAATCAAGCATTCAAACTAAACACAGAATAACTAAATAAAATATTAGGTATTTGGAACAAAGAGTATCCTTTTTAATGAAAATATACAAAATTACAATTATATTTTGTTTTTAAATATAATTGAGGCAAGATGTAATAGTGAAATAGACTACATTTAAATTTTTAGAACTGAGTCACAAATAAAATTACATTACCCATATAATTAATATTTAAAAATTATTATGTTTTCTTAAAAGTTGCAGAAAAATTAATTTTAACGAAATTAAAAAGATTTGTTCGTTAAAAACTTAATGACAAAAATCAGTTCTAATAGAATCTATTGTTACTTTTTTGAGCGTTTGCCTGTACATTTTACTTGAAGGTTTTTAAGAACAGACAGACGTTTACTAAGCTATACATTCATCAGTTCACAGTTCAAACCCCAGTCCAGTTTCAATGAAATGATAAGAACTTAACAGAAATCAAAGTAAAATAAAAAACCATCACTGACACTGAATTGACTCCAAAATTTTGGCTATCTCACATGTCTCGGCGACGGATGGCCACCGCCAGCAGCTCCCGATGCCGTTCCTCCCGCCGCGTTCGATGCCGACGATGATCCCTGACCATTTTCGTGACCATTTTCGTGTCCGTGGCCGTGTCCGTTTCCATTTCCGTTGGCCGAAAGATCATTGAGCTGGCCGGAATCGTGAGATGCCGTCGCCGATGGATCGTTCAGTCTGCTGTGTGAGTGCACCCATTCGGTGAGGGTCACATCCGAAGTGCCGCCCGATTCCAGTGGTATCGGATTGTGGCGGAAATGTTCGAGCATCTCCTGGATCGAGGGAAACCAGAGGTGCTGCACCCTGCACTGTCCCTTTTCCGAGATCGTGAGCCGCAAGTGCTTGGCTCGACCCTGGAAGTTGAAGGTGAGGACAAACTCTCCGCGGCGCGTTTCGCTTTGCCGCACCAAGAAGTATCCATGTCCGGCCGCGTCCGAGTGGAGAACCATGCGGGCCGCCTCGGATCGCGTCAGTGTGCCATGGAACCAGGGGAACACGCTCATTTCGGCCGTCAGATCCGCCACATCCGCATCGTTGTCGGTGCCCTCGATGCCATCGAAGTTGCTGGAGGCGGAGAGACGCTGTTCACCTCGATGCGGTCGCACGGGTATATCCGGTGGACCGGAGGGCGGTGTGGTGCCCAGCTCGTTGATGACATTCAATTCGCTGGCGGAAGTGGCACCTCCCTGACCCAAAGCGCTATCCGCGGACAGGGACGAAGCGAGCGGTGCTCCTCCGCCGGCCAGGTTTCCGTTGGATCCACCTTGCTGGTGGTACTGGGGATTCTGTACGGCCCCGATGGGATTGGGACTCGGATTCGTGGGCGACGTTTGCATGGCGGACGCCATCACGCCATCCGATTCAATCATTGGCTGCTGCGTGGGCGGCGTGCGCATGCAGTAGCGTATGGTGGCCAGCCAGCTGCGCATCTCCTCGGCGCTCTCCGCCTCAATCACATACTCCATGTTGTTGTCCGCCTTCAGGACGAACGTATTGAGCCTGTCCGGCATTTCCAGGGCCGTCGTCTCGCGTGCCTCGGAGATGAGGAAACAGAAGACGCCACTGCGCGGCTTTGTCGCCTTGTGGGGTGTGTAAAACTCGAGCATGTAGCCACCCACGGCCTTGACCAGCACCAGTCGGCACTTCTCCCACTTCTGGGAGCCCGTCGGCTGGTCGAGACTCTCCGGCGTCAGGTTGTTCACGGTGCCCTCCTTGCGGCACTCGACCACGATCTTGGCCAGCTTCGTCTTGCTCTGCTTGCCGCTGCCGTCCACGTCATCCGAGTTTTTGTGGAAGAAGGCCTGCAGCAATGAGAACTTGGACAGTTAAAAGAAATCGAAACTATATAGTCGGAGTGACCGACTATTTAAAAACCTGATATTCAAAGCAAAATCAAATGATTTTCTTAACCATTTACTGCAATTGTCCAACAAGCTTATATGAACTTAAAACATTTTGGTGTTGTATTTCTATTTAATTGAATACAATTTTATTAAAACTACATTTTTTCCTGACTACATTTTATATTAATTACATAAAAAAGTAGAACAAATGCCCCTTTAAGTAAAGACTAATCAGAATTATGCGTTAAATGCAAAGAATGCCAAAGTGAATGTGCTTATCTGGCATACCTATAATTCGTGATTCTGTCCGTAATAATTATCTCACCGACACTCAACAGTTGCGATCAGAATTCAAGACACGTCTCCATTGAAAACAATGTTCGTCAGACATTTGTTAAAGAAATAAATCCCAATTAAAAACTTTAAAGGATATGAATACCACATGGTACTAAAATCTTATGAAAAATCAAACTAAGCAAAGAGTATCTCTTGTGATTTGAAAGACTCAGAGTACATTCCTCCCTTTTTAGCACAAACTCACCTTTCCCTTGCGCAGTCCTTTAAACGAAAGTCGCCTTAGTAGGGACTTTGAGAGCAGACGTGGTACCTCGTGCTCCTCCTCGAAGTCCAGCGATCCCACGCCCGATTTCAGGGTACTGCGTCGCCGGAAAAACTCCGTGTCATAGTGGGCCGAAAAGGATTCGACGAATTTCTGGGCAAAGCTGCGATGCTGAATGTTCCTTGCCTCCTCCGGCGGCAGATTCCCATTGATGTATGTGATGCAGGCCTTGGCGAAATCCGAAGCAGCCACCCTGGCATGCCGTTCGCAGAACTCCTCCCAACTGGTGCCGCCGTAGGCGTAGGAGGACACTCCCATGGCGTTTCCCGTGCCAATTGGTGCGGGTATGAGGTCACTGCCTCCTGCAATCGCTGCTGCTGCTGCTGCGGCTGAAGATCCCAGGTTGTGATGACTACTGGCCGACGTGGGACCAATATACCCGCCTGCGCTAAAGGCGCTCGAATTGGCCCCTGTGCTGTTGCCACCCATTTGGCCAGGTGGTTCCCAATCCCGATCTCGCTGCTCCTGCTGTTGCCGCTGCCGGTTAAGGTTCAGTTTGCCGCACGAGTTACCCAGCTGGATTTCGTTTCAAAAGAGCTAAAAAAGGAGACAAAACCAAGGTGTTGCGGGTTAGTCATTTGGGATTCTGGGGAAAAAAAAGGGAGCTCATATCTCTTTACAGCATTCTTTAAACAAAGACATTTGCTGTTGGCTATAAAAATATATATTAATAAGATCTCTCTACACAGAAAGTACATTTAAAACAGTATGATGACCATTTTAAAGAGTATCCCTTTTTTAATTTGTCATATTTATTTTTAATTTAAGTTATTGCAATAATCAAATATTTTAATTTAATGTATTTTTTTATTTTATTAAAAAATTAAATGGAACCACAATAAATGCAAAAGTCTGTGGTAAGGATAAAATAATATTGTAAACTTGCTTAAATCTTTGAGTAATAAACATTACTTTTACGCTACTAAGACAGTTATGCTTAAAAATTTAGATGAATCCAGCGAATAGGTGAACCACACGATTTATAGAAGGAAATCTTAAAAAAGATAAGTCAGCATTATCTACTCCATTTCCGATTCTCTGACTCACAGGATTAAAGCTTTCAGCGAAAAGAGGGAATTTAAGCAATTTTTGCTTTAGGAAACTTGAAAGTCATTTAATAAAAAAGACCAAGTAACTTTTTTGTAAGAAATAATTTTTTTGTTAGATTTTATTCGGTTTTTATACCCTTGCAGAGGGTATTATAATTTCAGTCAGAAGTTTGCAACGCAGTGAAGGAGACATCTCCGACCCTATAAAGTATATATATTCTTGATCAGCATCACTAGGCGAGTCGATCTAGCCATGTCCGTCTGTCCGTCCGTCTGTCCGTCTGTCCGTCTGTCCGTCCGTTTATATGCAAACTAGTCTCTCAGTTTTAAAGCTATCTGCATGAAGCTTTCCCAAAAGTTGTCTTTCTATTGCAGGTAGTATATAAGTCGGAACGAGCCAGATCGGACGACTATAGCATATAGCTCCCATAGGAACAATCGGAAAAATAAATGAAAAAAAATTATAACTTTGCTGTTTTTTAATTTTTTGTTTAGTTCTTCGACATATAGCAATAGTTATATATTTCAGAATTATGGTTTAAATTTCATCAAAATCGGACGACTATAGCATATAGCCCCCATAGGAACAATCGGAAAAATAATTGAAAAAAAATTATAACTTTGCTGTTTTTTAATTTTTTGTTTTGTTCTTCGACATAAAGCAATGGTTAAATATTTCAGAATTATGGTAAAAATTTCATCAAAATCGGACGACTATAGCATATAGCTCCCATAGGAACAATCGGAAAAATAAATGAAAAAAATTATAACTTTTCTGTTTTTTAATTTTTTGTTTAATTCTTCGACATTTAGTAATGGTTAAATATTTTCGATTTACGGTTTAAATTTCATCAAAGTCGGACGACTATATCATATAGCTCCCATAGGAACAATCGGAGAAATAAATGAAAAAAAATTATAACTTTTCTGTTTTTTAATTTTTTGTTTAGTTCTTCGACATTTAGTAATGGTTAAATATTTCCAATTTACGGTTTAAGTTTCATCAAAGTCGGACGACTATATCATATAGCTCCCATAGGAACAATAAAAATATATAAAATAACTATCAAATAATTGAGCTGCAAATCATCATAGCTTCAATGTTTTTAAACTTATACGCAAGTAAATTATAATTTTAATGTTTTCAAAAATGTTTAATTCTTGCAATAGCTGCAAGGGTATATGAACTTCGGCTTGCCGAAGTTTGCTTTCTTTCTTGTTTTTGCATAATTCCGTCTTATCAATGGCGACTTTTTACAACTTTTTGTTTTTGGTGTGGGATGGATTTTCAAAGATCCGTCTTATTTTTTTTTGCATACCTCTAGTTTTAAGTTTTTAATAGGCATATGTTTAAACATTTAATAGTTATAAAATATGCCATTTAAACAACAAACTTTTAGACCTGTATTTTTTAAAATTTTCAAACCTTGAAATTTGTTTAAGAACTTATGTACATATATTTTTTAACAAAAAAATGATTTTAGCTTTACTTAAGTTTATAAAATGTATTTAAAATGGCATTCCTTTTCAAAAAACACAAACAATATAATGAACATTTGCTAAACGCTTCCGTAACATATTCACATTTATGTAATGTGTATTACGCATGTTTGAACATTACATTAAGTAACGCGTATTTTCAGAGCCACAATTAATCCTTTTTCTCGGCAATTAAAAACAAACGAAAACAAACTTGCGGCGTAGCCGACGCACACAAACACAAAGGCAAACACACACATACCCAACTGCGCGGTCGTGAAAAATTTCCCACAGGAATTTCCACGCCTACGTCAGATCGCAATATGCGCCAGGAAAATGCTTCTAATATCACAATCTATTGGGTTTACATAAACCATTTAACATTTGAAATAACTCACTTTTCGGTTTAACTATTATCTAAATGCACGGCATCTTTTTTAACATTTATTTTTCTACACAAATTGCATGTTATCTCGCTCACACATCCGCTCAAAATATTCTTTTGCGTTGTTGTTGTTGCGCGTAAATGGAAATTGAAAACTTAAAATTACTACTTAATTAGCACATACACTGAGTATATTTAAAACGTACTCGTCGACCGCAAGTTTTGATTGAGTTACCGCTTGGTTGCAATATTATTTATCACTGATTTGTTTGTTTTTTTCAATTTAAAACGAAAAAACCTCGAGCGTGAAAATAGCAATTACTCGTTACTCTCTCGTTTAGTGTGACCGCTGCGCGGAAGACAAAAATGACTTTACAAATCACAAACCAGAAGGTGGAAAACTTAAATAACGCGACGTTGGTGTGAAACTTTGGAACATGGTTAGCATAGACTCCAGCCCAGTGTAGAACATAACAATTGTATAAGGTGGAAAACTTAAATACGGCGAGGTTGGTGGGAAAGTTTGGAACATTGTTAGCATAGACACAAACCCTGCGGAGAACATAACAATTGTACAGTTCGCTTAAAACTGTAACTAGTGTGGCGGCCAAATATGTATTGATTTAAAACTCTTAAAAATAGTTTAGTAAATTTAAATGATCTAAAACAAAATAAGATAAAATTATTTTATACATCTGCCATTTATCTATGATTACTCCCAAGTAATTCTATTTATAAATGAAAACAAAAATATTTCAGTGCTGTGTTAAATAAAAAAACTACAATGCATTTGGTTAAATCTCACATTTTTATTGTTTCTATACGTTTCGAAATTGCATTTACTTAAAATTACTATGTAACTTTCGTTTCCATATGCATACAGTAATTATATTTTGTTAGCCGCATTAATAGTAAATAATTAAAAATCTTGAAACTTAATTTTTGTGAAACACACGCAGTGCAACAGTTGTTGTATATCATTTATTTATTGTTTGCAACGAACACATGCAATTTGGCAAAACATTATTATGGTTGCGAGTTTAGTGTGGGGAAAATTCAGGAAAAAGAGAAGGAAATCGAAGGACGGAAATGGACATGTGAAACGGAAACGAATAGCGAATAAATGTGTATGAAGGCGAGCTTACTAACTATTATTTGTTGCATGGTGGTTTGTTATCAATACACATACGTAGATATCCATAGTTATGCATACGTTAACTTAAGTATTTACAGAACATACTGCCCGGAACAGATTTCGAGTGGATGTGTGGTTGAAATTCGAATCTCAAACGGTCTTCTAGTCTTTTCGCTATCGTTTCGCGTATTCGCTTACAGAGATATTAGTAATGCCTAAGAACTGTAACTAATATTTAGCTTGATCTTTGCCCTACTTGCTTATTATCTGCATGATTGGAGACTTTAAAGCCGATTTGAATGAACTCGTGTATGTCGTATATATATATGTGAATATATAAAACCTTTCCGCTTAGGCTAAAAACTATATTTATTCGGTTTTTGCTTTTATTTCACTAAGAAAACGAGGTTAACCCTAACTTAAAACCAAACTTAGTTAAGTTGAGTTAAAAAATACATACTCAATACGTTATTTAAGAGACAAACGTTAGTATTAGATCTTGTGTGTGTGTTTTTCACGTTGTTTGTTTTTGTTTTTCTTTGCTTTTAGATAGAGTACACTCAGACTTCCAATTGTTTTGATGGTTGTTGCGCGATAAACGGCTCGCTCCACATGCGCCTCAGGTCGCCCTGCAAGAGAAGACAATACAGCACTATAGATATCGAACCGGGTTTATTGGGAGATTGACAGCACCTTCAGATAGGCCATCAGCAAGAGAGGCAATAACGTAAAGGGCACCAGATAAAGCAGGGCTGGCTGAGCCGCCTTGAAGACCTCGGAGCTGACCGTCGCCGTTAGCAGACCCAAGAAATAACTGCAATGAATTGGGAATTTTTTATTCATTTATGTTCATATTAAAAACATATTTAGTTCAATAAACTATTCTTTTTTTGATTTTACTAACCGTCTGTTAGGGGTAAAGTTTTATTTTAAGTCTAAAGAATCAGAAAAGCAAACTTTTCAAATTCTTTTTACAAAGCTACAGTTTTTCAAATTCCGCTCACTCTTCTTAAGTATTTCTTTCTTCTTATTGTTTGAAATTTTTTTTCTAAGCCCCATTTATTTTTCTAAAATATTACTTTCTTCTTATTGTTTCAAAACGAAATTTGTGGGGATTGTTTAATTTGTCTTTCCGTTCAAATCATTAGAAAATTTCTTATTTGTTGATATAGTATCGTTTTTAAAAGACACAATTACAGTTCGAATTTTAATTTCAGTTTTGAGAAACTCTCAAGCACTAAAATATCCCCCTAAGATTTAATTTGGCTTTGAGTTTGAGTTTAATGTATGCGATTCCTTAGCATTTGGGGTAAGCCTACTGTCTATAAGAACCTCCTTGAATTTCCATTATTTCTTTTTGTTTAACAACTTACCCCAGTAAGGAACAATGAAAGTATGTCAGCCGGGAGCCAACTCCCCTGGGTGGCGACAATGTGGGATCCGATGTGACGCCCTGCGCCTTCTTGTACGCATCGTACCGCAGGACGAAGCACAGCAGCAGTCCCGGCATCACCACATCCCCCAATCCCAGCATGGAGAAGTGGCCCGTGTTGTGGAGGCTGGGGAAAACGAGCTTTCCGGGCAGGTTCAGCTTCGGTGTATCCCGCACAATTCCGCCCAGATGCAACTTTCGAGCCACGATGCCAACTGGATTATCGGCGGGTCGCGTGGCCACCTTGACCATCACGTTGGTGCTGAATATGTACGAGGAGAGGAATACCCAGAAGACGTCGTAGATGAGCAGACCGGTCAACAGCAGCGTGGACACCTTTAGACTGGGTAAACGCACAAATGCAATGAAGGCCACACACAGGCCCATTCCCATTGCTGGAGAAATGAAGAAAATGTTGTCAAGAGAACTTCAATGTTTGATTTTAAAGCCTTCGTACCATCCATCAGCAGCCAGTGTCCGGTGAGCACCCAGATGCACACAATAGACACTGAAAGCGTAAAGCTAAAGAGCTCCGCTGCCGTGAAGCGACCACAGATTCCGAAGGAGAATCGCTTTCCATCCGTGCACGGCCGAATGATGTACTGGCACATGGGCAGCAGCAAGAAGGCCAGCGCCACGGTGGCAATAACTGCGGATAAAGAATCGTAATTATAATAAGGGAAATTCAAAAACTATAAATAAGTGAACAATTAAGATTTTTTCATGTCAAAAACTGAACCTTTATTAGTCAATTCTTATATTTTGACCTAGTTTATCAATCGTATACAAAAAAAAAAATAGAAAAACAAATAAATAAATAATTTGTCATTTAGTGGGGTTCAGATATAGATATAGGTATCATTTCAGAGGTACTCACTTGCTGTGCAGACGGCAAAAAGTAGCTGCATGGAGTCGAAAAAGAAGAACATGATGAGCAGTGAGATGGAAGCTCCAAGCGGCAAACACAGGGCATGCATCGTGTCCAAGGTGGCGAATTTGTCCGCTGTGAAATACAGATCTGAAATTTATAAAACATTCCTTATGCTTTTAAGGCAACTTCACACATACTTGGTTCCTTCTCGACGGGTTCGCCGGTCAGAAGGTTGGTCATCGATTCATTTCGCTTCTTTTGCTCCCGCTCGCGGGCCTCCTGCTCGATGTTTAGCGACCGGAAGCTGCCGTAGACGATCAGCAGCATCGATATGAGGCAGGTGGAGACCCGTGACGAGTCCATTACACTCGAGACTGTCCAGTGGAGTTCGCGGTATTCTCCACCGCCCGCTGCCGCTGCACCGCCTCCAAGTTGGCCGGCACCCACAGTTTGTGCTCCCAGACTGCCACCGGCTCCACCATGCGACATGCTCACTCCGGATTTTCCGGATGTGCCTTCTATATCAAAGATATATCGCCGACGATCAGTTTCTGTTGGCTTCTTCGCTTATCGGTCGACCTGCGTTGGGGTTTATCGCGTTTTTATGCACCGCTGCACCGCTGCAATCTAATCTCAAATGAAAAGTGAAATTCGTTTTGTTTTATTGATATAACGATAAGTTTAATATTTGCTGACCTTATCGCTAGTAACCCCCCGTATCTGTTTGTCTTCTTGAGGTTATTTGGACAGCTGCGTTTAGGTTTTCTGAAGCACACACTCCCAAGGTTTATTTTCCACGACTTCGCCTAAAGTCGAGCGCGGAAACCTTGGGGTCAACTTTCACGCACCTCACGAATTAGGCAACGAAAATAATTAGAACGTTCTTTGCACTCAAAACAATTAGTGAAAATGTAATATGAAGAATAGAAAATAAAAAAACTATTCATCAGGAAAAATTAGGTAACATTCATAGAAAAAAAATATTTTTTAAATACACAAAAAAATACATTTAAATGGCTAAAATTTGTTGTAAATATGCATTTTAATATCCCAAACTGAAACTTTAAATACTGCATTCATGTAAATAACGTACGCCAATTTTCAAGAAAAAGGCATTTAATTTCAAAATCATTAAGTATTTTTTAGGAAAGAAAAACAAGCTTTGGAAAAGCTGTAGAAGGCATTCTTAATTAGCTTTATGGTCAATATAAATAAATTATTGATTAGCATGTAACTGGCCCAACGATTTCAAGGTAATAAGAAAAGTAAATTACAATAAACTTTACTACTTGTTAGTCTTGAAATTTTGTAATGTAAACTTCGGGATTCCCTGTAAAACAGAAAATTATTAGCAAAAAAAAAACTAGCTCATATGTTTTTCGAAGAATGTTTACTTTAACGCTTTGTAAATTAGCAGTGGCAATGGAAATGGCATCCAGACACATAAACAAAGATGTGGTCCGTCTATTTATAAAATTTTAATTTTATTTTCCCCATTTCTTCTTTTCTAACATTAAGTAAAGAAACCCAGGAAAGCATTTAATCAAGTTTAGAAATTTATGACGTTTGAGGTGGTACCTACTGTAATTAGATGACAATATGAACTACTATGTAACGGGGAACAGTTTAACTTATAAGGTTAATAAAAAGTTTATACGATTTTTTCTGTGTAGGTAAATAAAATAACAACAACCGGTGTGAGAAAATAACAGATTTTCCGCTTGCGACTTACATGTAGCAATAACAACAATTAACCGACAAGAAGAAGGCCGTAAAAAGCAGTTAAAATAGGAATAAATTATAAGAGCGTTACCCAGTTTTCTATGATGCCAGTTCCATTGTGATTGCAACAAATTCTATAGTATTTTCACACACACACACAAACACACACACACCCACGCAGGGTTGTTGCACTTGGGAAATGGAAATGTTAAGTCGCTGTTATTAGAGCGGCGCTCTGCTAACTTGCTAATAACAAAGCGAGATAGTTGCTAATGACAATAGTGGCACTAAGCGAGTCGGTAGCCAACTTCCTTGGCCACTGTTGTTGTTTCTCTCGTTTTAGTTGTTGTTGCATGTTACCAAGTGCCGTTGCTCGCACTAATTTCTGTTGACTGTTGGCAAATGTAGGTGCATGTGTATTGGTTTTGGTGTTTGTGTAAGGAATGCAAATGATTGAAATATATTTACAGCTGAGACCAACAAATAAGTTGCGACCTACTCCTGTTAATAAAATAAAGCAAAGTTTATTAATTTTGAAAATGGTTATTTTTAATTCTTGCACAAAGTTTTAACAATTTGTTTATTATAGTTTTCTAATCAGTTAACGATGCTAAAATTTTGACCACTATTGTAGTTACATTTGTGTACTTTTCATTCTACGCTTGTGTTGAAGTTTTTCCCTCCCCTTATGGCCCTGTCTCTATCTATTTTCCTCTTTTTTTGTTTTCTGGATGCAACAATTTAAGTTTCCCACACATTGCAATTCCAAGCAGGCGGTGGCGAGGGAGCAAAATTGTTAACGAGCGCTAATTAGAATTAAATTATGTAGCGGGTGTAAAGTTACGCTCTGCAAAGTTGACACAATTTGCGGAGAATTTTCACAGTTTAAAGCGGTTACCGAACATGAGCTACATAATTAGCCAAACTCATTGGAAAATGCCGCTCACATCACACACGTAAACATACACACACACACACACACGCCAACACTTTCTAATTTGAAACGCCCCAGAGTGGGGAACAAACATAAAAATAAAAGAAGTACCAAGCAATTGGCTTTGCTGTAACTGCCCACGACGAATGTGAAAGTGAAATTTGCCAAGATATAGACTCGGAGCGCCGAAAGGGGGGATTTTTAAAGGGGGGCTAATAGGATTATTTTTTTTTTAAATACACGATCAAAACATGATCCAATATTAAGATCGGATTCAAATTCGATATATGTATGTTTCTTTATGACTTAATCATAAAAAAGAAAAGAGCAAATGTTTCAAATAGTTATATGAATACATTACATTTTAATGTTCTTGTTGTTACTAAAGGCAATAAAAAAAAGGATCTTTCCTAAGATCTTAGGAAAACCTTTGAAATCTATATAATTATCTATAAAAAAAATAGTGAGAAATAAAACTTTTTTTTGCACTGAAAGCGGAAAAGCATAAAACAAGTGCGTAAACTGGGCGCAAGTGTGTTTTTTATTATGCAAAAGGGGGAGGGGCTTAGAAAAGACTGGATTGCAGTGCCTGAGAAACTTTTTATACGACTAAAGCTTAGCCTGCGCTTTAAGGTTTTTTTTTCTTTTTTTCCGTTTCGTGTTTGGTTACACTCCACTTCATTCCGTCTCCATTCCACAAAACTCCAACTTCGCTCCACTGCGTAACAAAATTACAAGACACACTCACACTCACATTCACTAAACAACAACAAGGGGTTAGACATGTCTTTAAATTACAGCAAACGAAAAAAATGTAAAACGTATATAGTGCACTCGATATCGATACTCCCCAAAAAAGTTGGGGGACCTTTCGCTTACTTTGCTTTCACATTCACATTCGCGTTTGGCTGTATTTTCCTTGGTTTTTGTTGTCCCTTTGCACCGATTTTCCTTTTCGCGATACAAAGTCTTTGCTACATTTTCACGCGCTTTTCAATTGCCTTGCGAGCCGCTTTTCTTGCACATTTCCACGATCTTCGGCGGTCGCTGCTCTTTAACGTTAGACAGCCATTTTGCATTTATTTCTATTAGTAACTAATGCGGTGCGAAGAGGAGAAGAAACAACAACGAATTAAACATTTGATGAAACGACGACGCTTTAGGCGATTATCGTCTGCGCAGAAGTGTGACCGTCCTGAGAACGTGCGGATATACCACTCAGCCAATAACGGTCGTACTGCGAGGGTGGCGCAGTTTTAAATCAATGGTTTAAATTAAATAGTCTGTTTAGGTAGGGCCGCATTATTGGCATGTTAGGAAAAGTAGATTGTTCAAATAAGCACCTTCAACATAAATTGAAAATGCGTTTGGGAATGGAAAGTATCTGGCGCCGGACGGAGAGTAAACAAAAGACACATTAAAAAATGTCACTATTGGATAAGTTAAAATAATAATTGATACCGACATTGGTTTGGGGATAGACTGGAATTCCAGGCAGGTTGTGTTCATTGCTAGTCCTGATCAAAGTTATCTACCTCTGGGCGCAGAATCTTTTGTTGCTTTTTTAGGGTGATTTTTTTTCAGTAAATGCGTTTCTATACCCCGAATGGTATATTTGAATGGCCCAGTTAACGGTCGCACTGTTTCAAGATTTTTACATTGGACGGACGCCTCGATGTACAAATAAAATTTTAAAATAAGTTGGGTGCAACGGCAAGTTAGAGATTCCTAAGCCTGAAAATTCGAAAATCTGAAAAATATAGTGCATCAATCGCGTGTTTTGAAAGAGTGTGGATAAGCGGAAAAGTGCAGTCGACAGAGTTGCAGTTCCCATTTCCTTTCGAAAAAAGCATCTTCCAGTGCTTGACAAACCAGTTAAATCCAAGCCACTTTTAAGGAGTTATTTAATAGAAGAAATTAATCCGCCATGGGTCTCAACGGCTGTTGTTCGTGCGTCAAATATCTGATGGTCCTTATAAACATTTTATTCTGGGTATGTAGATTCCAGCAACAACAACAACAATTTTAGATTCTCTCCCATCACAACAACAACTGGAACACGGTCCTTCTCCGCATGATGTGTGTATGTGGGTGTTTTTGTATTCCCTACGCCCCTCTTTTTCTGGCTGGGCGGGGGGAGGGACCATGCGCACGCTCTTTTGAACCCTACCGCTCTTTCTTTCCCTCTTTTCCCTCTCATCAGAGGTGCTCAAAACAAAAGTTAAGAACCTGAAAAAATGGATGCTTAAAAAAAATACAAGTTAAAACAGTTGTTCATGTTCTTAAGAAACTAATGTTAAGAGAAAGCAGTTCTCCACTTTAAATGCTTAATAAAAATAAACTAAAAAACATGTTCTATTTATTCTAAATGTACTACATATAGATACTGCTTTAAATATTTTGTTATTAAGAGAGTTTCTTAAACATAATTGTCACATGTAAACAAACTGTTTTTAAAGGCCTTAAAAGGTTTTTAGGTTACTAAAATGATTTGGAAAAAATGGTTAACATTAATTGCTTTCAACCAGTAGATTGAGATGTTACAAAAGCCAAGCTTAATACTAAAACAAAATTATTTCTATTTTCGTTATGCATTCTAGACTTTAAATTAGTTTATCCCGGTAACAGCTAATTTTGTTTGTAACAAGCCGAAGCGGCATCACTGATAAGTGGGGCTCTCAGCTCCTTACTCCCCCACAAAAACAATAGAAGTTCCGTTGTGGGAAGAGAGTGAATGAGACACACACGCACACCTACGCACACGACAGACATTTAGGCATCTCCTCCTCCATTTTTCACTCCCTCCCATTGTGTTCATTCTCCTCCACACGTTTGTTCAGTTGTTTTTCTTCTGCTTCTGCTTCTGTTTTTTTTTTGTTTTATTATTTTTATAACGTATACTTGCGCTTTGTATTTTTAAAAACTTCGACATGGTTAATTTGGTGGAAAAAAAGGACTCGACGTATCTGAAAGGGTTTATTTCTTTACACGACTTATCTGTTCCTTGTTTTACGCAATTTTTGACTTTCAACATCGCCCCATTTGGCTTTCAATTGTTTCCATTCAATTATTATCACTGAAATTGTTTGTGTTTGTTTTCCTCGAGATTTTCTCCTGTCTTTCATGGCTTGCGAAATCAGTCTTGCTTTTTCTTTGGGGCAACAAAATTTAAAATTTTGAGCTTTTGCGGGTTTAGTTTTTTTCTTTTGGTTTGTTGATTGTTGCTGCCTTTTTCGATTTCTGTCTATAGTATTTATTAGTCAAAAGCTATTTTCGAATACGGGCGAAGAAAAAACAAAAACTTACGCGTCCGTTCAGTTTTTCGTTGTTGTACACAGAAACAAAACAGTGATATTTCCTGACACATCTGAATTGTATTTTTTAGCAAATATTTAGTTTTGAAAATCCAATACAATACAACGGACCTATATTTGATTTTTTAATGTTTGAAAATCCAACTATCTAGATTTCTTACTGCAAAAGATTTTAAATGTCTAAGCTTTTTAAGGAATTTCTTTTATTTTCTGCAGAAACAATTTTGGGATAGCTTTTTTAATGTTAAAATAATGTTAAACTGTTTTTTATGTGTTATGGTGTTACAAAATCATTATACACATTTTTAAACTAAATTATGTCTTCTGTTGTGCTGGTACTTTCTTTTACCAGTGTATTTTTCCCTGATCTGTGATGTTTTAGTATTAGACGTTGTTGTTATTTGTTGCACAGTGGTATATGTTTGATGTTAGTGGAGGAAATAACAAGTGATGGAAATTGTGATGTGTTTGTGATGCAGTTCGTTTTACTAAGCGGTTGAACTAATTTTAGAACGATGTATGAAAAGTGCGTCAGATTTTTATTTTATTATTGCGGCTGAAAGAGTTATCAGAATTTATTAAATTATTTTTAGCACAAAGAAAATAATCAATCTACAACGAAAACTGAGCGAACTGGGACTAAATAGTTATTGAAATTAATGATTGTGGAATATAAATACCAGAAGATTAAACATATGTATGTGTATATGTGTAACCACATCTTAAAATACATAAACCTGTGTACCAGTTGTTTTGAACTCGTCTCCACTGTGCATCGGTTTCCAAACATTTCCATTTTCAACGTCGCCATGGGGCATCGTGATCAAACGCCACGATCTCTGAGGAAGCTGACGTTCCAATGAGGCCGATATCCCAGATCCAAGATGCCGGGGGAGGCCTATGCCAAAAAATGCTAAACTGCCGGCGCTGTCGTCATTGAAGTTGACAGTGACCAAAATGGAATATATATATATAAAATATTCAGTCGGCCATCTGACAAGGCTTGCGTCCCGCCCTCTCCTGTCCACCCACCAAAAAGCCATACATTTTCTTACAGTTAAACTCGCACTTACTATCAAAATAAGGACTTAAAAGGGGCTTAAGAGATTATCTATTATTTAGTATGGCGGTTTATGAACCAAAGTTATCCTTATCTCCATAGTATTAAATAGTTAACTTTAAAAAAAATCCATTTAAATATTTTATTTTTTCGAAATATGTTTAACAATATAAATAGTTTCTTTAGAAAATATTATCTTTATGGGTAAGGGGTTGCCTGTATCTATTTCCAACCCACTCACACATTTCAAATCTAAATGCATAATTCGCTGTGCTATTTCTTACTAAATTATTCATGAGTGGCGCTCCATTCATTTTTCATTTTCAGTTTGTAGTTTTGTGAGTTGCATGATGGGACTGCAATTTGCCATCGATGCGGTTAATTGTGAGACAAAACTGCGACTGGACATGCATGGCAAACCCAGCTGCTGTTTTATCCACTTGCCCCCTCGTTTTTGCAATTTAGCACCAGGAAAATCCTCTCTCGTTTTCCGCTTTCAACGCCTCGGCTCTGAAAAGTGGGTCAACGAAGGACTCAGCACATTTATTCGCCCATTCGGCAGACTTTCTGTTTGTTTGTCATGGACACGCGACATAGTGCCATATATGTATGTACAACCGTACGGGGAATCGTAAAATTCCAACAAACGTATCTACAAACAAGGAGTGGATTCGATTCAAACACAAAAAAAAGGGAACAGATTCGAAATGGGGTCAACATTTGCCCTACAAACATTTCTGACTTTTATTAAAAATGTGATTGAAACTTAAAAAGAGTACATTACATAGGTGAATAGTTATCTTAAGATAAATAAAATATCAGTTTTAATATCAGTATTTAAATGTTAAGCAATGAAAATATGCTATCATATAATTTTTTAAAAGTAAAAAAATGATTTATCTGTTCACAAGCTAAAAAATCTAAAAAAAGTAATAAGAGTTATGTTAACATGTTATTCTCGTTACCAAGTTTTTATGTTGCTTTTGATGTTACTCAATAGACGCCCCTCGTATGGGGCAACATTGTATTACGTTTCCATGAGCAGTTCTTCCGTTAGCTGCACTCATTCACACCCATGAACTTTTAGGGCAGTATCGTGCAGTTTTGTGTGGCACACTTTTTGTCTCGCTCGCTTTTCAATAGCTCACTCTTTCGTGGACCACCCGCATAAAGCCGGACTCTGCTTCTCATTCATTCATGTATTTTCGATTTTCATGTATTTTCTCTCTTTATGTTGTTGCGTTTGCTTTCTTATTACCATAATGATTTTCCTTTCTCTAGGGAGATGTTGAGTTTTTTTACCCTAAAAAAATTGAACTTAAATTATAAGGCAACGCCCTAAATTTATATATATATTTAAATCCAAATAAATATTAATCTCAAAATTAATTTCATTTAATATCTATCGTTTTATTTTAAATTGAAAATATTTAACAGTACTAAAGTTATATATAAAAATGATTAATAAAATATTATTAAACTTCTTGATATTGCAATTACCTAAATAAACACATTTAAAATGTGGGATTGTTGGATCTTTGTAATTGCTCTCGCAATCTTGCGTAATCTTATCAAGAAGCACAGTGTTCTTCGCAATTACGAAAGCCTTGGGGGAAAAAAAATTAGATAAGATTTATATTTGAAATGCTTTTCAGTTTGCCTTTCGTTTGTAAGATGTTCTAAATTCACATATTTTTCCATATAATATGTGCACTTGCCTACATCATCATCGCACACTCAATTTCCCTGCGGTGATTAATTTTGCTGAATAATTAATGAACTTGCATAGATTCTCTGTGCCCTTAGTCCCCACCTATTAAGTAATTAGCTCTTTATTAGGAACGAAAACTAAAGTACATTATTTTTATGGATTGTCGGTCAAAGCATAAGCGAGTTATGTTTTTAAACTTTTGCGTAGGAAACATAAACAGAAATTAATAAAAAAAAACAGTTCCTCTAGCAGAAATTAAAAAAAAAGTTCACAATTTACTTGCTGATAACCCGAGAAGAGCGATAATAAGAGCTTGACAGCTTAATGCCTGAATATGTACATATATGTAAAAATGGAGGGTGCAATGGTGATGAGGGCAAAAATATTAAAAATATTTCATTTTTTAAACAGCTGCCTTTAGTCAACGACTTTCCAAAAAACTGAAATTAGTTTCTTTAAATTAAATTAACATATTATTTATTTGTTTATTCACAGCCCTACTTAAATTAAATTATAAGAAGCCAAATCGCAAGAGGCAAATATAATGTGACGCTTTCAACTTAGCTGACATCATAAGTTTTAGTTAAAGGGAAGGGAAAACTGGGGCGGGGCAGACCCCTACTTTAATTGCCGCCTTACCAGATGGCGTCATTGACGCGTGCTTCCCAGTGTGTTGAATGCAACTATTAGACAACTACACTGAAAATTGTAAAAATAAAAATATTCTATATTTCCTTTTTTTCTTACAGCTCATCGGCTTGACCATAGTGATCACCTCTGTTTGGATGCTGACAGATCCCACATTCATGCTGTCAATGACACAATCTTACAATCATTATCATATAGCCCTCTACGTTTTCCTGGCAATCGGCATACTGATCACATTGGGCGCATTTTTTGGCTGTTGTGGCGTTTGTCGTGAGTCTCAATGTCTGCTCGTTTCGGTAAGTAAAAACTGGAGTATAACTTTAATGGCAGAGTCTGGGAATTCAAATTTAAATGGATTCAGATGTGTGGCCCACACTGTTCCGCTCATATAATTGCAACGGAGGTTCGCCTACATTATCTTTGCAAGTCTGCAAAATGCTGCACTCAGAAAAATGTACTCCAAGTTTGAAAATTCCACTTACACTAATTGTATTACCAATTACATTAATTGTATTTTTAAAACCGGTTTAGGGGTATCAGTAAAGAACATAGTTCCCAGAAATACAAAAAAAAATTGTTTATTTATTATTTATTAACATAAATTATTTTAAATGTTTAGCACACAGTTTTAGCTTCTCAAAAGAGTTTCAAGTTTTAGGGGTTATATATTTTGTGTGCGAACATATCTTGTCTAAATCATAACAATTTATTAACTCAACGCCCACGAACCTGTCGTACTCTGCCATTCATAATTCTGAAATTCTCTTGCAGTTCTTCTGTGTCATACTCATCGTGATGGTGGCACAAATTGCTGCCGGAGCCTGGGCATTCCACAACAAAGACAAGCTGGACGATATCGTGCGGGCGGCAGTCAAGTCTTCAGTTCAAGAGGAGTACGGCCAGTCAACTATGAGTTCACGCACCGTCACTTTCGATACGCTGCAAAAGAATGTAAATATTTGGACATATCCCCCAACTCGCAGAAACAATTTATGTGTATTTTTGATCGGTTTCAGTTGAAATGTTGCGGTGCCGATGGACCTGGAGATTGGGCCACAAGTCGTTTTAATAATGTGGATCGAACAAATATTGTAGAAATCGCTGTGTCTTCCATGAATGTTTTCTATAACATACCCGAGTCCTGCTGCAAGGACAATCTTAAGGATAACGAATGTGAGCTGTCGCGCCGGCTGAAATTCGGTGGTCCATTGAACAACGCCATTTATCAGCAGGTAATTTAATGATTGGGCTTATTCCCAAAGGATTTCAAATGAAGATTAGGATCTATTATCGAAACTTTGAATCACATAAAAATTAAAGGACAATTTTAAAGAAGAAAGGAAATGATTAATCCGCGGGTAAAAACGGAGTGCTTTGCTGTTAATTGCCCCTTTATTTAACTGTCGTTCTTCGATTCAACGAAAAACCGAAAAACCATCAAAACTCAATTTATAGGTGTGTCCCAATCATAATATTATGGCTAACCGATTGCTATCTCCAGTCTGGCCATAAAAATTAATAATCCTTTACACTGCTGTTGATTTTTCTCTGGTCTGCAAGCTATCAGCGCCAGAGCTAATAAAAATTCACGCCCGCCAACGCCGAGACGATAAAAATGTTTTAATTAATATTGATATTCAACACGCATTGCAAATTTCTGTCTGCCAGTCTGGATGGGTTGTTTGCCAGAGTAGATCCAGAGAATGCGCGCTGTAAACAGACTGAATGAAAACCGAACTTGCTTATATACAAACCGATTAATGAGTTTCCGATTTGTGTCTTGCAGGGCTGCGTGGACAAACTGATTGAGATCATTTACGAGAACTGGGTCACCATTTTCGCCGTTACCGCTGCTGTCATTCTGCTGGAGCTGCTGTCCCTGACTTTCGCCCTGAGCCTTTGCTGTGCGGTGAGGAATCAGCACTACAAGGCCTGAGAGTTACAGAACTCCCATAGGGAAATCACGGACGATGAGAAGTACTAACAAACCAAATCGAAACGGATGCATAGCGAGCGTTATTACTGAAGACGTGCGAATGGGGAAAAACATTAAGCAGCGACGGCTAGCTAGATAATGTACGGTGTTCCCTGGTCAATACTTTAACAAAACAACTTACAACAGCAACAACACAATTTTGTAGTACTTTTAACAACAAGACAAGCGAAAACAACACGAACAAGCTGAGCAATTGTATTTGAGATGTGACAATTTTTTGGAATTTGTGGAATGTTTTGAATGCACAATCCACAGGAGTTACGGAAGCGACTTTATATGAACTTGATATGCCAGCAGAGCAAAAACAAACAACACTTTTCTAACAAAATATTTCTACCACGAAAAACACAGACAGTAAACTCCATATATATGTGCGGCTAAAATAAGCAGCTCCATAATACTTAGCATAGCGAAAAAGTTTCGAATTCATAGATACATACTATATATTTAATATATAGATCAAAGCATAGGCACAAAAATATAATGTTAAATGCCAAAACAAATGAAATAATGTAAAAAGAAAAGCAATCAAATTTCTTTTAATATTTATTTCCCCCATAAGACTTTTTCGATTACAAATTAGGTTTTCCTGCTGCCATTTACGTATGCTAACACAAAGCCAAATAATATATGAATGCATATATACGTATGTAACATATGATAACAGCATTCCACAAGTATGAGAATGATTGACAGATTTGTGTTCTGGTTAAAACGCATTGCCATCCAAAGACCCAGCCCAAAATATATTTTCAAATCATTTTTTACCTTGTGCAAAATGTGCTAAAATCAGAAACCACTCAATTCGTAGAGCTTCGCGAAATTGAATGCCAAATATTTTATGTATTTACAAAATTGTAATTTTATTTATTTATGTTTTATTTATTTGGGCATAAGCCATCAAGGAGCAAAAACAAAATATTAGGAAATAATAAGTAAATTATTGTCATTCTATTGACAAACAGCATTCTATATATCTCAAAGAATTAACTTGGCCAATATGTCTTTTATCAATCTAAATCAGCGGTTTTTTAAAAAACTTGTAATGGGTAAGATGTTTGAAATGCACTGAATAAAAACACTTTGCCGCTGTATGATACGATTCAAAATGTTGTGGTTTATATTTTTCAAATTAATGACAAAATATTTTTTAAGAATTGGTTTTAGTTCATGTTGGCCAAGTTGTTATTTCACAACTTGTATGATCCCACACACTCGAATCGAATTTGGTCGAACCCTACTTACCTGCATCGAAATACATTATAATTTAGGCGTCATTGTGGAAGTGCAACTATTTATATGGGAAACCGTCAAATCAGCACAAACGTTAAATGAAAAGTACACACGAACGAAACAAAAAGTCTCTATATTTACATTGTATTTTTACCATACACCATAAACTAATTAAAAGATATATATTTTTTGTAACATTTTCATTTTATTGTTGTTATATGTGAATTTTGTTGTTAGTTAAGCCTAGCCTGAACGTCACACTTTGTACCCCTTCACAACGTTTAAATAAATTAAATCTACAAAATCAAGTTCAAGAAACCAATTATACTAAATTTACAACAACAAAAAAATAAATATATTTAATTAAATATATTGTATTTAAATTTACACATTAATGAAAATTATTTATTTTAAAATTTCTTAGTAAGTAGTTACGTGCGGAATTTCATGGAGTTAAATCAAATAAAAAAGTAAAGTTTTAGGCTAAGAGATAAACCTCATTAAATTTACGTTCATCTGTTGGATTTGTAGCGACACATTGGAATGTTATGGAAACAAAATCTTAAAATTAAAAAGATTTGCAAAAATTAAGCAGAATTGAACGTAGCAAACTATTTATAGCACAAAACTTCATCAAACATCTAAAATCAAAACCAAAATAAATAAAGAAATCTACTCTCAAAACAAAAAATACAATCAACTTTTCATCTTCATAACGTACGAATACTACACACTTTGTATGAACAGGCATCTAAATTAAAATTGAAAAAGTTAAGCAATAAAAACGATGCTCAAGATCTGTATTTAACAACATAATACCTACATAATGGTAAAGAAAATACTGAATCATTATGGATAATTGGAATAAATTATAAAAAATCACGGCATACAAACTGATATTTCAAATAAATAAACATACACAAAACTTATATTTAACTATTTTTTGGGCTGGCTTGTGTATTATAATTGGTGTAAGAAATGTTCCATCCCGCTTGTTTATCACGCCTAATGAAAAAACTTGATGGGAGTACATAATTAAAGTGTTATTTTTATTAAAATTGTTAATCTGTTTTACGCTTTACCCAATTGTTTTGGGCATGGTGTCATTAAAGTGTTCTTTATTTGTTTGTGTTGTTTTCATTTAAAATGGCATAAGAACTGTTTTCGTCTGTTATTTGAGTTAAATTTTTTGGACTAAAAACTAAATTAGAACAAAATTAGAATGAGACCGCACGAGAACTTAAGCATTCGTAGGACCTACATAACTTAACTTCCACTTGGTATTCCCTAATGTGACAATATTTAACTAAAGTTACATTTAGTAGTAGTTTAAAACATATCTTCTGGTTTTTATTTTTTAGATTTGTAGCAAAGTTTAACATTTATCTTCATTTGAAAATTTAACAACAAATAGTTCCTTTTTTTGGAAACGAGTTGGAATTTTCAGGACAAATAAATAAATGTAATTTACACATAGATGGATTTGTCAAGTCGTTATATAGTATTGTTATTGTAGTCGTATTATTTCAATAAACGCTTATAGGTTTTCCTATCATTTACTTATAAGCAATCCAAATCACTAACCACGTTTTTTCTTGTTAAGTTAATTTTCCCGTATTATTATAAAGATAAAGATAGCGTAAATCATGAGTTAGTTAACTTAAAGAATTATATCCAGGATGTTTAATGGTACTTTTCGATTTAACATTTACAAATCGCTTAGGCTGGAAAATTATTATCGTAATTTACATTTACTATAGGTACATTTGGATTAAATTTAGTTTCAACTAAATATGAGTTAAACGTAGGTGTAAAAGTAATGCTAAGAATTATTTACCACACGTTCTTAAACATATTAAAGGTTGGTATCGGAAACCGAGTTAGATTTCGATTTCCATTCCATCTTTCTAGTATAAATCAACGTTTGTTTTGACATTGCATAGTGGATATTCTCGTTCGTCTTTTCTTTAGGACATTTAGCAGCTAAAACCGATTTTATAACATTATCTTCCAATTCGGCTGGATAAATAAATCTCTTTACTTCTTAATTTATTTTAACATTAGGTATAAGCGTTTTAATTTCATTATTAATTATGTTGACTAGTTAGACACTTAACTTTCCTCAATTCGAAAGATAGGTTAATATCAATTAGATTACCATATCTGTTTTTGGACAGTGTACGTTCATATTGCATAGATCGTTTCTTAAAAGTTAGAAATTGTGGGTGGTTTACCGAGAAGGTCGCATAGGTTTTTGTTTAGCCAAGATTTATTTTTATTCAACAAAATGGTCTTGTTCAACACATTTGCTAAAGCTACGTTTATTTGATGATGAAATCGCATAAAATGGCTTTGCCGTTTGATGGGAATATTTAGTTTTACTGATGCTAACATTTTATTTTTCATGTCCCTCAGAAGAAGAAAGCTTTTGGTTAGTTTAACAAAGATATTGGCTTTGTGAAGCTTAAATAAAATTAACAAACAATTACTTTTGGTATGGATTAGAAACCCAACATTTAGATATTTTTGTTTTAGTACATAGCATTTTGTTCTAGTACACTTTTTAAAGTCAACTGCGAAGTTGAACTATTAAATTGAAAGGTTTTCCTTGACGTCATAAAACCACTGAATCCTGATTTTATTTATCTTCTCCGCTTAAGTCTTTTTTATACGGAAATATGTATTTGTTTGAAGCAACAATGGAAGAACAATGCGTACAACTAAAAGAGGAAATAGGAAATATCAAACCACATTGATTGTCTTGACTTGTCCATGCACAATTAAGCATTCAATGTTTGTGTATGAGTTTTGTAAAACGTTCTCGTTCTTTTATTATGTTACATTTCCATTTCGCTGCACAACTTTTGTCTATTCCTGAAGTCACCCCTCTGCTAGGGGATGATGAAATAATGTGGGGTCGTTACAAATAGCGGGATAAACCTTAGCATATTTGTGAGTAAAAATGTTCAAGCATGCGTAATTGAATAAAAATGTAATTTAATTGAATAGTCATGTTATGAATTGCATTAAACATTAAATAATCAACACGGCCTTGTATAAATATTAAATAAATCGAATTGTCAAGTGCTATTTTTATAAATCGGTGGTTGGTTGGGCATACAAAACCCAGGCATATTTTATTCATTATATTGTACAGTATCTATGTTTTGCCTTTTTAAATCAATATCGATAGAAGACAGCTTTATTGAGACAAATTGTAAATTCAATTAGTTGATGCAAATTTGAAAACCCACACATACACATTTATGCAAATTGAAAATGAGTTTTAATGGCATTTTCCACAGTCTGAATTAATTTAATTTATCGTTTGTTGTGTAGTACATGCTTTAATTGACGGCGAAGAAAAATAGTTAATCTGTTGAAATACTAAATTTAGCTTGGTCAAAAAAACAAAATCCGAAATTTTTTTAAAAAATAATTTAACTGAATTTCCCATTTAACTGCTATTGTATCTTTTGGCTTGTGTAAATTTATGTTATTGTATTCTATTATTTGTTATGCATATTTATAGTAAAGTAAATCGTGTTGGGAGCTCGGTTTCTCTTGTTGTCGGTATACCAATTCCATTCCTGAATCAAACATTTGGTTTGGTGGTTTAGTTTAGTATTGTTCTCGAAATTAATTTCATTTACACATATACCATACATATACAAACATATTTATGTAGTAAATGCATATATAAGAACAATTCGCTTTTCGCGGCAGGAATAAATTCATAATATGCTCAAAAAATTACATATTCTTTATATTCTGTTCAATCTTTGTCGACCTCATCGTTAGTTATATAATAACACACTTATAAAGTTTAAAGATTTCTTCCTTCGATATTTTGCCTAAACTAAGAATAATTACTAATATGTTTCATTTCCTTGTTTTCCATCAATTTCACTGGTGTTTGTCATTCTTATTTGGGGTTTCCCTTTTTTTTTTATATATTTTTTGTTTTTTTATGGTTGTTCATTTTTTAGCGTTGCTTATTGCAGTTAAAGATCTATAAGTGATATTATAGTCCTGGAATTGCGAAGCTCTGGTTCTAGCTCGCCCTCTTGTCATCAAAGGTCGTTGTCGAACATTTGCAGCGAGCGCGTTACCAAATCGTCCTTCAGGCAGGCCTCCAAAAACTCCTCTATCGTTATAATTCCATCCTGATTCAAGTCCAGTTTGCGAAACACACGATCGACCTAATTAATCCAGATTAAAATTGATTGATTTAGTACGGTTTCAAAAAAACTAAACATAATAAACCATAAATATTTTGAATACTCTAAACGTTATACATGTTTACTATCAAAAATAGTTAAAGTATGCTTTAATACCCATAAGGGTATCCACTTCGTTTTACCTTGGTACTTGCTGATTACCAATAAGCTGACAGAAATCCATTTTAATTTTAATCCCTCACTTCAATTTCAGCGACTTTTCATTGGCAGTTGCATTTCAGCATTAACGACGGGAAAACGTGAAACCTTCATCATTAAGTAAAATATCCGCTGCTGTTTCCGCACATGAAAGCTTCTGTTTTTCCCACTCTCGCTTTTCACCCGCTGTCGATGCAGCTTCGATTCACATCTTATGCATTCAGTATGTTGGAACATATTTCTGTGTGTGTTTCCAATCATAATTACTCATACGCACTGTGCGCCAGGCTAACGTCAGCGGATGCTGCACGTTTTGTCAAGTGTGGCTTTTGCATAAAGAATAAAGCATACAATTCTGCGCCAGAGAATGTGGGAGGAAGCAGCAGGGAAGCCTAGAACGTGCCGTTCATTTTATATAAGCAAGGATTTCGCTTTGCGTATGTCGCAATTTCAATGAAGCCCTTGAGCGACATGATTAAAGCTTAGTTCTGATTGTGAAACGCGAACTGAATTACGAGCGGTGGTCAAAACTTGGTAAAACAAAATGTTTTATAAATAAATAAACTCTCAAAGCAAAATCAAATTTAATACATTTCAGAATCACATTTTTCATATTGAATGAGCATTAAAGTCACGGGTTATAGCTGTTATGCAACTGGGATTGCACACTGCTTGTTAATACTGAGCCTTAACAGTGTTTATAACTTTCGGTATTGATAACCGAAATTAAATAAATATAAATTTATATCAGAAGGGTTTTTCTCACCTGATCCCTCGCCTTGCGATCGTCCTCAGGCTGGTGGGGTCTCCGACCCATAAGCTCGTGAATGGCCAATATGATTTCACTAAGTTCGCCTCGACTTATCCTTCCATCGCCGTTTAAGTCGTACAACTTAAAGGTCCAGCGCAGTCGTTCGTACACGGAACCCCTGAGCAACGTCGACAAGGTGACCAGTAAATCCTAATAACCATTAAAATATATAAATAAGCGTGGCCGAGAAAGATTGCGTAAATGTTATTATAATGAGAAATAATTACCCGAAAACTGATGGCGCCATTGCAATTAACATCGAACGCCTTGAACACATAATGAGCGTATAAACTCGAATCTATATAAATAGAACAAGCAAAGTGGGTGTATTAGGGTGATTTTTTTTCTATTTTCTGAGGATTTGGGTGTTTTGGCATTTTGGGCGCAGCTGCTGCAAGGATGAAATGTTCGCTTAAATAGCGCTTTATGACGCGCAACTATAAAAAGGAAAAGCATAAGACCTTAGCGACAGCACCCGCACACACACACAGTCACACACCGCTAAACGGGCGACATTTTTATACGCACACAGACATTTACAAATACTTACTGCCATGTGGAAAGAATTTGGCGTAAATATCCTTAAAACAATCCTCGTGCACCACGCCCTCAGGGCATTCCTGCGAAAAAGAAATCGCCATGAAAGTGTTTTCTCGGTTAATAAGAAAATGGCAAAAGTAATGGCAGCGTAATGGAAAAAGGCGAAAAGGACTAGACCGCGCGGAAGCTTGCATAACTTATTAGCACATTTGATTAGGAAATATATATATATGGCATACTCAAGAATCTATCGAATACAATACAATAATTGTTTAAATGTAAATTTAGTAAAAAACTGACAAACTTTTTTTTTATAATATTAAGCGCTTTAAACAGTTACAAAAAATAATACTCGAAAAATGTTTTCTGTAAAACAAGCAAAAGGACAAATCATCAGTTAGGTGAAATATCTGAGGACAAATTGTCACGAAAGCAAACTATCATGGGGCAAACTGTCAATAAGGCGAACTTCAAGTCAGCCAAACTATCCCTGGTCCAAACTATCCTTTTACTTGACCCAAGCTCATCTCTTGTTGACCCACATATTGAAACTTTTTCGCTGAGTTGAAAATTTTCCGCACTCTTTGGTGTAATAGTGCTTGGACACACAATCGCTTTCAAGGAGTGTATTCAATTGCAATGAAATTCAAAACGCGTGTGCATTAAGAGAAGAGCCATCATAAAGCTGTTTTTGGCTCATAAACTAGAGATCTTTATTATTTGAATGAAGTAAGTTGGGCAATATGTATTGAGTTTACCCTCTGGACTTAAAACATTTAATTAATTTATTTTTATTATCATTTAGGGGATTTAAAGGTTCTGAAGAACGTTATAAGGAACTTTTAACATATCCGTTTACCCAAAACATTTTGTTTTTTTTTTAATTTTTAATCTTTTAAGTTGAATTTGAAAGTAAATTCCGTTTTACAAATTCTTTAGGCTTTAAAGCGTTTCTGCACCTTTCAGGCTACTCATTCAATAATTTAATATTTTAGTTTTTAAAGATTCATTTGTTTTACGTTTAATAAGTAATTTTAATTAATTCGCTTAAATCAGTTTTAACAAATTTTATGGGATTCATCTGATTAGATAAGATATACAATTATTTACGCTTAACTAAAAAACTTTTTGAAAAGGTGAAGTCTTACCGTTTTGAATCCTCTGTACATAACCCGGATTTCCTGTTTGGTGAACTTGGTCTGCCGGCACAGATCCTCGAGGGCAACGGGAATGGGCTTAGGCACTCGTGTGTGTTCCAACTCATAGACCACCTCCTCGATGGGACTTTCTGGTGGTGAGGCCATGGTTGCTGCTTATTTATTGTGGACTGGCCGCCGAGCTTAATTAATTTCGGTGCTGATTATGATTGGCGGCTTAATATCAATTTACATTTGAGGTGCTCGGTTTTAGAGGCAAGAGAACGAACTCATTATGCTTAAAATTCGCTACTAGTATACAATTTCTTTGTCCTTTTTTTATGGGCTCTCCACCTTTTCAGCAGTTGCTGCCCTCAATCCCTTTCAGTGTGTTCTTTTTTTTTGGGGTTTTCGGTTACGGTTTCCTTTACGCCATCCTGCTAAGTCGCTAATGAGGCAACCATTGCTGTAAGTGGAAAATGAGAAAGCAGGTGAGACAGAAACGAGACTGTAGAATAGTTAAACTAGAATAGAGATAGTTGAGTCTGCTTTAAAATAAGTGTATGATATTAAAAAATAATTTAAAATGAAATTAGCGAAAGCACCAAATTGAAAAGCATATATTTTTATATCTTCTAAAGTTTATAAAAGAAGATACCATTGCAAATACAATTTTGTGATTCTGACCTTACCGTTCTAACAATGACTTTTCAGCAGGATAAGTTTCAAATACAAATTTTATCATAAAATTATGACATAAAAAACAAAGTTTTTACATATTTATTACAGATTTAATATATTTTATACTTATGTTCTTAGCAAATTTATTTATTCTAAGCATACTATTTGTTAAATATATCAATAAATTTATAATAATTTTTAGAGCACGCCAGGGCAAGAACACTTGCAGCTGCCGGAAGTGCAACTCGCAGCCGCACCTCCCTTTTTGGGCCACAGCCACATTTGCACCGGCATAAGCACATCGAGTATACGCATTGTTGACTGCCGCTACCTCAGGCAACATGCAAATGAAGATTATTATTGCGTACCATAAATCAAAGGCGAATAAAGTTTTTCGCGAACTTGCAGCACCATTGCTGCACTTTCTTCTGAGTGGGGATTTGGTGGGCGTGGCAAGGCTGCTGCCCAGATGAAATTAATGAGCACTTTGCATGCAAATGAATTGTATGCAAGTTCATTCGAACTCTTTGTTTGCCTTACTTCTCCAGCATAAGCATAAGGAAAATCGGCTTAGATCATTATGTTGTCAGGTCGATGACGTTGTTGAAGTGTTAACAACAAAGATTTAAATTTTCAAATTCGTTTTTCTTAAAAACATATGATTTTAAAATCATTTATTGGAGGAAATAAAAGTTTGCCAGAAGTAGTATTCTTTAGCATTTATACATTTTGAATTGTTAATATTCCTTAAATAATTTTAAGTTTGATTTTGTTTAGCACAACATTCTTGCAAATTTCAACATTCTATGCAAATTCGAATTTAAATGCAAGTTTCCTTGAACATTGAACACTCTGGTTGAACACTCTGTTCTTGGCAGGTTATTTTCTTCTACCCATCCCATAATCAATGTTCGTAGCGTTTATTGCTCATTCATCATAATAAAACCAATCCGTAAATCAAATCCCATAAATCCACAAATTGAATTTTCTTGCAATGACTCGCTTGCACCAGCTCAAATCAAATCTGTAGCGCACTTTTACCGTTTTTTTTCTGACAAATTTCAACAGCACTTCAATATTTATCAGCGAAGAGTCAAAAAGTGTGTGCTGCAGACTATTTCCACTCTATTTCCATTTTGCATTTCCATTTTATTTGGACTAACACTCGGGCAGGACTCTTGCTAGCTTAGGGCGGGAAAATGGTGGAAAGGGGATTTCCATTTCCGCCGTCACGGTATTTTTCAGTTGGAATTGATTAAGCGGCGGAGAGACCAAAACAGGGTCACAACGAATGAAAATAGCGTTGACAGTCTTAACTCAAGTAAAAGTGTATATATTCTTTTTTCGTAGCTCTCAAACCCTCGCCACTTTACGTTTTTTACCACTTCTGAACTAAGGAAAAACTGATACTTCAGTTTCCTTTAAGTCAAAAGAAAAATACACTAAACGTTTGTATAATGAGGAATATGTTTGTAGCTGTATCCATTTTTAACATAAATTGTTTAAAAATAAACCAAAACAAAAGAAACCTCACATGATTTTATTAAAGGGTAATATTCCCTTTCATTTATGTATGTAAAATCAATCATTTTAAATGTATATGTTAAGAGGTGCAAGGCTTTACTAAGATCGTATTTGTAAAATAAAAAAAAACACATTTTATTTTGATTCAATAATAAAAACATTTTTTTCTTTGTTTACATATTCCAACGTATTCCTTCACTATTTGTAGTTTTCCCCGTCAGCACAAAATCAGAATACGCAGAATAAGTTTGCTAAAAAGTTTCGACGAAAGACCTAATTTCCCAATGGCTTGTTGAATACATAAATAATTTATAAATTGCCAAAGTAAGTCTTAAATATTTATGCATATTTCGCAAGCCAAAACCAAAATGGAATCAATAACTATAACCCTACTGAGCCATGAAAATGCGTTGAGCGAGCTCTTCAAACCACAAGCAACTGCTAAATGTTGCCTGCCATTAGCATAAATAGCATTAAAAGCGAAGAGAGCCATTAAACCGAATACAATGTCATACTTAGCTGCTCCAGCTGCAGCCAACTAATTTCATGACTCTATTTTGCACAAATCTCTGTGGCCCAGACGATGGGAAAAACTGGGGGAAAATAGGGAAATGCTTGTGGTGGGTGTGGGGTGGAAAGCATGCAACTTCCTGCATTTACAACATTTGAAACCATGTTGAAGTCACGCCTTTTGCACGGTCATGGATTCTTTCCATGCACTTAACTAATCTTTAACATGATCAAACTAATTTAAATTTGAACACAAATAAGACAACAAGTATTATGACTATCATAATGAAAAACTTTTTTGTTTTTTAAATATTTGAAATTCAACGGAAACATTTTACTCTTTAAACACAAAAAATTTATTATAAATTGACTCAGTAAAAATTGTAATGTGTTTGGTTACATAAAACCATTTACGAATAAACCATATTTTTTTCGTCGTCCCGGCCCACACATTTAACTTTCAAATGCATTTTTTGACGAACCCTGTGTGCGTATGGGTGAGCTTGTGTGCTTGTGCATGTATAATGTTTGTCAAATATCACGTATACGACATGTGCTTCCGGCAAAGAGCACACGAACACCCTCGAATAACCGGGCAACCAACCGGTATAAGTCGAAGCCATTCATTGCCAGGGCACAGCTAATTATATATTAAACCAGTTCAGAGTGTAAACGTTATAATGCGAAAATCCTTATTAGCCAATTGCCAATTGCAAACGAGACAGTTTCACTCAGACACTGAAATGCACTTAAGGCCGATGGGAAAGGGATATGTTAATTTTCTTGGCAAGAACTATATGTTTATTCATTTGTCTAATTGTGTTGTATGTACGGGGGATTTCGAGGGGCTTTTTGGCCGAGGGTCTTTGCTTTGCGGGTCTTTGTTTGTGGCATGTCAGGACTTAAACTTATAAATGGCAACGACAACAGCAGCCAAAGCAAGGACAAGGCTTGGCCTGGACAATACCAACTTGCATGCAGTCATGCAATGCCACTCGAATGATGAAAAAGAAAGCTAAAACTAAAACTAAACATGAACGCACGCCAGGCCTCCCACTCTGTGCTAACTGAAATTGTTAACAGTGGTTTTTGTATTTATACAAAATAGTATTTGACATTCCTGATGGGACAAAGCACTCCGAGCAATTTATATATAGTATGAGCAAAGGCATTATTATCAGAATAAAATGTAAGACATTTTTCCCACAATTAAAAACTTAACATTTAAATGTAATTTTCCGCATATGTCTACAGAAAACATAATTTCATTTAGAAAAAAGAACACACCAATATATTTCCGTACATTCGTTAGTAGCTTAAATATTTTATAAATTTGCTCAAAAAATAATACAAAACAATAATTATATAATTAAATCTTATTCAGGCCATGACACTTAAAAATAATTGTGAATGGTAAAAAAAATGAGAACAAAAAATTGTATTACTTTGAAACATACATAACTCTACTTGAGTTTACACTTTTTTAGTTAGCGGCTTCTTGGCAGAACTTTTGACAAGGATATTTCACTTTTCACAACTATTTTAGCCCGCACACGTTTTTAATTACTAGATTTTATTTCAATGTTTTATCATTTCTATTATGAGGCCACTGTGCGGGTTTCATGTCTCCGAGCCCGAGCCATTGTTATTTCCTGCTGTTTTCATGCCACTTTCATGGACAACATAGACAGACTGGCACAATGAGAGGAGTGCCAAGCTCGAAAGGCAGCAAAACGAACCCGGCGATATCTAAACTGAGACTCCCGACCCGATCTAACACGCAACCGCAAAAACCGTAGACCCACTAGAGTTGCGAGAGCATTATAAAATTGCGGATATATCTTCGGAATATCTGCGTATGTATATAATTTTTTTGGGCCAATTGCCCTGCTGGGGACTATGGCAATTGAATTTTTGCCTAAGCTTTTGTTGGCAGTCGCCCACAAGGGTTGTGGGCTTAGCAAATCTCGTTGCGCCTACCAAAGACAATAAATCAACGCCAAATATATATGCAATTTTTTCTGCCCTTTTCCACAAAGGCAAAAGCGATGACGACACATGATGAAGGGGTTTCAATCCGGCTTTTGGCCAGGCCAAAAACCAAATTAGGCCACAAACGTTGAGTGAAAAATTAATGAACAACCACACAATCTCTTGAGGTATACTTTCGTATTTCCGATCCAAAATGGCAAACGGAAGGGCATTTGCATCTCTTTTCCGTACTGATTAGCCCATATAACGAGTGCACTTTGGTGTTGACATAAGACTTCTGGGCATTCGAGATAACCGACTGATTGTTTTCCGAGTGGTCAACCTCTCGTCTTCGTTTGGCTCAACGTTCAATTATTAATCATGATTGCACTTAACAAGACACCTAAGCTGATGACATGCTAATCAATATAAAGTTTTAGCTTTTGAAAAGCTTAATGGTTTTGGTAATGATAAAAACGATTTAGCACAAGCATGCGTTAATAAATGATGACGCAAATGTGTTTTGCCAAATTGCATGGTTTCTGATGCTTAAACTAATCTCTGCAAATAATTTATAGTTTGGATATTAAATTTTTTATCGAAATTCTATAGGTGACTTATGACCACAGCTTAACTCGGCAAACAAATCAAACACAAATTAAAACAAAAATACATTTTAAAATAAATACATTCTTTATTTATTACTTAGCATCTCAAGGAACTTTGTACTCCTCTTAGTTATAATTTTATGATACAGTAAAAAACTCAATAAATCAACAA